AATGATGAATTATTTTGCCAATTTTTGTCACATTTCTCGCTGTATCTTTGCTAATATTAGTCACAGGGCGATGTTTTATAGCCCTGAGATAAGTAGTTCCTGAGGTTAGTGCGTTAAAACAAATTCTTTAGCTTTACAATATTAGTATAAAAAGCGAAATCCTGTTTCCCCTCGTGGGACATAGGACGAACACATTTCTGTGTCCGTTTCACTGATCGGTTTTATTTACAGGCAAGTAGTTGATCAGTCTTCTGTGCCCTGCCCAACCGAAACAATTTACTGTTTCCCCGGGATTCGAACCCAGGACCTCTCGCGCTTAATGCAATGCGACAACACGTTTAACCATTTAGCTGCAGAGGCGGTACATATCTATAACATTAGTATAGATATGTACATAATCTCCTAGAAAGCAACCCTGATGTCGATTTATTTTTTGCGAATTATGGAACAATTGTGTCCATTTGTCCGTTTTGTGTTTTTTTTTACAATTAATGCAATTGGCTTAGGCCGTTTTAGTTGTAGTAAATAAATAAATAATAGTCGAGGTTTAAAATGAACGGTAAGGCACAGTTTTTATCGCTATATTCTAGAATGCATTCGCAGAACAAAGATCATTCTAGCTGCGTCTTCTCCCAACGCTTCCGTTATTAATATCGCAGTAACATATTATGCATAGTCGAGCAATTCCAGCATCCTGTTTAAATTGAATACAATTCCTGCACCTCGGTGCAACGGGGCATAGAACACAAATTAAGATTCATTTGATTCACGTTATGTGGTTTTCAACATACTTACATTGCTGAGAAATTGTACCAAGAACGTGGTAGTCTAGTGGTAAGTACAGTTGAGGTCGAGTTTTCGTGTCTGCTCGTGCAATACAAATATTTATCTCTATATTAATTCTAAGGCGTGGTAAACAAAATAAAATAATACCAAATATAATTGGACGCGCTCGTCCTTCTAACGGTAGCGATGTATGACTAATAATCAACGGGTTAAATACTGTCTATAGTTTACGCGAGTAGTACACATTTAAATAAAACACTTTAACGGTTTAAAACGCGATATATTAGTTAAACTTATTTGGAAATGATTTTTAACTTCGGCCCGACGTTTCGGATGCTTTGCAGCAGCCGTGGTCACGGGGAGACTAAAGATGGAGGATGTCTGGGCTGACGTCAAAGTAAAAAATTGCTACGCTAGCGCCATCTTCTTTTATTTGGCGAAACTGCTTTCAGAATTGACTAACGTTTTGAGTTTCCGGTATGTGTTGGGAAATTTTTTTTTTTTGTCTTTTTGACCACGGCTGCTGCAAAGCATCCGAAACGTCGGGCCGAAGTTAAAAATCATTTCCAAATAAGTTTAACTTATATATCGCGTTTTAAACCGTAAAAAGGTTTTATTTAAATCAACGGGTTGTTTGTTCGACTCCCACCGAGTCCAACATGTTACTTATGAGTTTATAATTTTTTGTTGATACATGTTGGATTTTACCTGGAACTCTGGTACTACTAGATTGGAGGTAGGATTATCAACAATTTCATCCAATTCAACAACGGTCCACAAATCAAAAAGCCGTGAAATTTAATCGCCTTTTCATGACTGTCTGTGGATTTCCGAACATCGAAAGACAAATATGTCCATCTTGTGGTGTTATTTCCCCCTCCGTCAAGTAGACCCCATACTCTCTTGTCCTCCTTTATCATAAAAAAAAATTAATATTAAAATAGGTACCGTCACATATTGTAATACAGCCAATATGACATTTATACTTTTACCAATTGTATCTGTTTTTCTACATGTGTACCTTGCTTGAATTATTATATTTTTCACCATCGTTTTGTAACCACCAACATTTTGTAATTATGGCATATTAAATCAACGGCATAATAAGAAGTTGAAAGAAAGTTCTGACGAGTAACCTCCTCATCAAATCGCCTTTGGTCCATTAAAAATAATTATGCATTTGAGGCGACTTTACACCCATTAGGAAAGCTTATTAAAACTCGCAAGAAGGATAACTTTCCCCTGAATTGCTATAAAAATTTAAATCGACTTGATGTTGTTAAGCCGCGTGAATAAGACGTCGGTAGGCTATGCCTCTGAGCCAAGTAATTTGGCTGGAATTTACAAAATATCGGAGAATTGTTCAACCCCTCTAAAATCCTTAGAGATACTTCATCTTGCCGCGAGTGGGTGAATCGAGCGAAATATTAATGAGATTGAATATTTCACAATAATTCCAAGGTTTCCGAATGAAAATAACCTTATTATTTGAACAATTAAATTAAATTCCCGAGCTTGCGTGACACTGTCGTCGGGTAGTTTAAATCAATAAATTATCAATAATCATTATATTCGTCTTTGATAAACTTAAATTAAACTTATAGATTGGCTTTGAATGTATCCTGTATAAATGCAATAGGTTCCAAATTCGAATTTCGATAAAAACTTAAAATCGAACAGAACAGAGGACATCTACAAGTGTTTGCTTAACTCAAGAGTTAAATGAATAATAGGACATCATGTCAAAGATTGAATCTATCAAATGAAGAAAGATCATAGTAAATAAGAAGTAAACGCCTTTGGGCAAATAGAAATATTTTTTATAAAAGTCTTGTAATATGATTCGAATCAGTATTTTAGCTAAGCTAATTTCCATAACCTGAAGTGTCAAACCTTACTACAATAGGTAAAGCAATTCGGTCTTTTGTTTTTACACCCACATTATACTTACCAATAAACTTTTTTTCTTAATCTCTATTTTCTATCTCTTTTACTCTATTATCGAAGTCCACATTTCCATTTTTTACATATACATATGGCTACGGGTCATCGATTCGATTCCCATCGGGTAAAACACGTTTCTAATAAATTTTATAATTCTTCTGAATGAAATGCATGGTAAGAATATCCAAAATTCCGTCCAGACCACGAACCATAGTCCGCAGATTAAAAAACCGTGAAGATTAATCATGTTACGGATTTAGTCTATGGAATTCCGGATATCCAAAGCCAAAATAGGCCGACTGTGCATCTTGTTGAAATGTAATATGGTTGGGGTAGTGTCACCTTCCGTCAAGTGAGCTATATACTTGTCTGGTTACTAAAAATCAAAATTGGGTTTGTGTTGCAATATTCTTTTCGTGCTACTTTCAATTAAAGCATATAAATCATGTTTTTAATAACTGAACGTCTGCCGCTGTAGCTGGTCCGCTGTAAGCGTTTATTAGAACAAAGTGTAAACACCAGAAATTCAAGGGATATTTGCGAAAATCTCTTATCATTTTACGACAACCTTTTTTATGCGAAAAGCCATTTTTATTTGAAAATCGTGAAAGTGAATACGGGCAGGAGTCACTTGTTCGCGTAATCGGAGAATTATAGGTTTGAATCCCGGGTTAAAAGTATTTTATATAGACTAAACGTTTTGCGTATAACTAGAAGATATCAGGGGAACGGTCACAGAAATATGTCCTACATTGATACACGTCCAGTTCACTTATGAAAAATATATTGTTTGAGAACTTTTATGCTTCATATACATTCTTCTTTACGTCTCTTTGAATTGTTTAAGACTTAATAATCACAAAGTAACTACAAAGCATAAAAACACATGCGATCGTCTAGCTGTCTAACCCGTAAGCTAGTAAAAGTTAAAACGGAAAATAATTACAGTTTTTGGTCATCGAAGTAACTTCTTGCATTGAATATTGAAATATCCATTACTTTTAATACAGAAAATTAAAAGGTAATTTTTTCCGTAATTTGGCCGAGACCGGCAAGTGCCCGGTTAAAATTAAATGACGCACATTTTAAACTTATTAACATTAAAACGTAAACGCTCAACTTAAAATGTCTGCAAGCCGATTTATTACACAAATTAATAACGATTGATTATTTTTCATTAAGTCTGCACTTAATAAAATTTTTAAATTCTACAAAAAAATAGTAAAATAACTTTTAATTGACACGTTAATACACTGCTACACTACTACTACACTACGTTCTTAATTAAGACAGATATAACTATATGTCTGTTAAAAGTTTATATTCTTGGTTCGAAGCATGAGCACTAGATTAAGCAATTTCTTTATATTTAACTCAAATGTTACTTCAACTCAGTATTAATAAAGTAAAGTAAGCCTCAAAAATGTTTGAAATGAAAAAAACACTTTGCAAAATAAATTATTCACAATCCAACAGCAAATGATGAAAATATATTGAATAACAATATACAGTCAACATGATTCTTATCTTCCACTTATGAATTTAATTAAAATCGCTCTTCTAATTATTCATACTACGAATGCAACGGTCGTTGAGGTATTTCTGTTTTAAGCAAGAGTATAATACAGGTGAACGAGTGAATTATGAAATTGCTATCCGACTTTTTATGATAAAAGGGGACAGACAAGCATTACGCTCAGTTGATGGCAGGCGCCACTCATTACATCTAAACAAGATTCGCTCTCGACATCTGTATAAAAATCTGTCTCTGAATATTAATATTATCAAAATTCTAGGCCATATATTTTCCTGAAATTTTATTTATCCGTGAACGGTTTGTTTTGTTCTCGGTGGTACAATGATGGTGACAATATAAGTAGTAAAAAAAAGTTTCAAACATTTCATCTGACCAAATCGAACCTCAGATCTTATGAAAGTGGAATGTACCACCACTAGACCATTAAGTCAGTTATGTATAAGCAGGTAAGTGGAAATGTAAAATGTTTAGTCGCAAGTGGTTACACCTGAACCCGTTGCCACTTTGTAGATACTTCTAAACGGGGTAAAGGTCGTGACCTCAAAACAGTGGAGAACGGCGAAAGTGAGCGAAAACACGTTGAGTTCGTAACTTGGAGGCATAATCGTTGTAATAATGGATTTAAGATCGGAGTAAATAAGGCAGAGAATACTGCGTTCGATACGAGCATTTGAATTTAGAAGAAATCAATTAGCATTGACATGCAAATTTATTTGTCCATGCCCCATGCCCCATGCCCCATACCTCATACCCCATTCCTAATACTCCATTTCCCATTTCCCATACCCCATACCCCATTCCCACCCCATTCCCCACGCAGGTAAACTGTCCATCGCTATTTCAATACAAACATTTTAAAACTAAATCTTCACTTGAACGCACAAATAATGCCTAACAATGAATAAATTCGTTTTTAGCTCATTTATTAAAGAAATTCACCAAGAAATAATGCTAAAACACAATCGCTTAATGCTTTACAAATCGCTAGTGCCGATATATCGCTTATCACGTTGACATTAAAGCTATTAGTGTATAAGAAATGGGATTTTATTTAAGTGCATACCTAGATACTATATTCCGCTCGTGAAAATACTATGTTTGAAATATCACTACATAGTATAAAACAAAGTCGCTTTTTCTCTCCTTATGTACGCTTAAATCTTTAAAACTACGCAACGGGTATAGATGTGTCTTTTTCGAATAGATAGAGTGATTCAAGAGGAAGGTTTTTTATACGCAACGTTTACAGTTTTTCTGTAATGTATTTAGTATCAGCATTGCACTCGAGCGAAGCCGGGGCGGGTCACTAGTAATATATAATCAGATACGAATTTTCTTATGAAGAAACAAATTAAGAGCACTATGAATTAAAAATAATTTACTAAGCAGTAGTTTTACTTCTTATCAGTTTCATTAATTTTGTAAACCGAATTACCGACATCTTTCTTCAAAAACATTTTTTAAATAAAACACTTTAACGGTTTAAAACGCGATTTATTAGTTAGTTACTAATATCTATCGTTGTAAACCGTTAAAGTGATTATTTAAATGTGTACTACTCGAGCAAACTACAGACAGTATTTAAACATTTTTTACTTTGAATGAAGTAACTTCTAATCGTATTTCAGACATTAGTAGTTAGAAGTGTATTATTATTAATATTTAACTAATCTCAGAACTCGTCTATAGTTAATTGGATTCACGGATGAATGGATAAAGTGATATATACTTATTGACGTGTTTTCTTAAAGTCTCATTACAACTTTCCCCTAAATTCTGTCAGTCGAAACACGCGCCAAAGTTTTTAATTAAATTTCTGGCCCCGCAAATCTAAGGACATGTCGGCATAATTTATATTTAATACATTATAAAGGAATTTCGACATTAAAATGGAATTCGCTATTGCATTGAAAACATACACGAAGAGATTACGAAATGTAATTTCTAAAATATTTAAAGCCAATAACTTCTTACCTCGTACAATTTAAGAAGGCGGCTGAATAAGTCCGTGGCGCCGAATTAACTTTAAACAGTTCATCCCCTTTGTACTTTCGAGGCTTTTACAACTTTTTCGCGCTTAAAAAGCCACTGTCACAGTCCTTTTCAGTGACAAAAAGTATTAATATTAGTTCATGTTCGTGTTTATTACGCGACGGTTTTTCGACGCGAAATGTTTCGAAATTTGGAATGGGAAAACGATATACGTCCACACGTCACCGCGGCGCGTAGCCAACTGAATTTCCGTTCCCCTTTTCCGTTTGCATAATTCGTGCGAACAACAGCTTGGAGCTGTACGATATTATGACGGAACGTGCGCAATTTTATGGCGTTCACATTATATATATCAGTAAAATACTCTAAGTTAGACTCGTTAGCTCAATTGGTAGAGCAACAGCACGGAACGCTGGCGATGTCGGATCAAGTCCTGCCTGAGTCGAAATTTTTTTCAATTTATTTTCGTTTTTTTTAATTACCCTATGTTATCTAAAGATTTAATTTATATCTATAAATTGTATTGTAACATTATTATAATCAGGAAAATGTAAATTCTAATGTAAAAAATGGTGTAAATTTTTAAATAAAACACTAACGGTTTAAAACGCGATATATCAGTTAAGTTAAGTTAAACTAATATATATCGTGTTTTAACCCGTTAAACTATAGACAGTATATATATATTTAAGTTGTTAATTTACAAAATGTACAACTTACAAATATATGTATCCGTTTCAATACAAGTTGTATTTTATCGCATGTAAGTTAGACATATGAACTGAACCATATAATGTTACATAGTCGGCAAAAACCAAACCCAATCTTGACACTCGATCGTCCTAAGTTTTGTAAACTTCACTTAACTCGCGGTCTAGCTTCGAACTTCGTAGCCAGAATGTGCGAGTTATGTTCTCGCTGACCTTGACACTGGTTCTCGCTACGCGCTACGGCTCGTAGTTCGTGCTACGAATTATAAAAGTTCTCCCAGCCTACGATCTACGAATAACGAAATATTGTACTTTTTACTTAGGGGTTGTCCATTAATCACGTAACCTTTTTTTAGAATTTTTAAACCCCCCCTCCCCCATTGGTGATACGTAGTGAGGTTTAAGTCCACCCCCCTCCCCCCTTCTCAACATCACGTACTTTTAGTACCTACAAAGAATCTTAAAATTTTCTGAATATTATCTTAATATAAATACAGGTATAAACTATAATCTTATTTTATTCTGAAATTAAGGACCATAATAAAAATGTCTACACCATTTGTTTAAAAATCGCGCGTTTGACGAAAAAATAAATACACGAGATATCTTACTATACCCCCCCTCCCCCTTTGTGTTATTTTCGTGATTTTTATCAAACCCCTCCCCCCTATCAAGCCTCACGTAATTAATGGACAACCCCTTATTGAATTTATTAGCATATTGTTTAACTGCTTCTATGCCTTTTACTAGCTAATTCTTTTTAATGTTAAGGTTTTTACCAGTTTCAACGAGTCAATCAATGATTTTTAATATATTCAAGACTGTTTGTTTAACGCTATACAACATTGGGACGCGGCTAAAAGGAGCAAAGAAACATTCGGGAAATGTGTAAAAAAACTGGGAAAACTGTTATTCCTTGTATTTCCGTTGCGTACGCTAACGAAAAGTATAAAAAAAAAGTGTGTTAGAAAGAATATCTCTTGTAATGATGTATCAAAAAGTCCAGGACATTATACGTCTATCTTTTAAGATTAACTAGCGAGAACGACGGGACGCGAGGCTGTTTGCAAAAATGAATTTCGATACCTAAAATAAATATTCTATGCGGACGATGTCACGGGTACAGCTAGGATGTAATTAATAAGTCAAGTTAAAACATGTTGCAATACACCACAAAATGGTTATCTTGCGAATTAATAACGGGAATGATCTATACTGTATATATAATTGTGTGAACACCACTTCCCCAGCGAACCCTTTGTGATTCAACCACAAACTCATGTACACTTAAAGCGTGTATACAAACCATTTTCAAAACATCGCACCAACTCTTAATGTTTTAACATATAAGCTTTATTCCTACTAATATTATAAACCCGAAGAGTTTGTTTCTTTGAACGCGCTAATCTCAGGATCTACTGCTTTGAATTATAATATTTTTAAGTTGGTTAGAGAGTTATACAACCAAACAGTAAGAAATGTGGAAAAAACAGGGAATATTCATCGTTGAAGGTTCATGCGCTGCGAAAACCATTCAAGACACTCAAAAAATACGTATAAAAGAATGACTTCTCATTAAATGATCTTGTAAGATTTACTTAAAAGCACAACGAGGCGCGACCAATATCGCGGGTAAAAGCTATAAGAATTATAAAGAAAAGGAGGTTTGCAAAAAAACATTTTGATGGCCAAAATAACTATTCTATGCGGAAATCGCTGGCACAGCTAGTATATCATGTGGAGCAAGGAAACAGGATTTCTCATAAATCCTGTTTTCTCTATGAATACTTCTTATTCTGTGCCTGTTTCACCGTTTACAGGAACACAATTTTATGACTCAGCATCCAAGACCTCTCAAGCTTAATAAAATGCTAGAGAAATGAACTATGGAAGTGGCCAAAAAACTTTAAACTTAATAGCTTATTTATTTATATAATACCACTATGTTCAATAACATGTTCAATGATTTCTTAAGCAGCAAAGCGTAAGAAATTTAACCTTATCTGTAGGTCATAAGGTTGAAATTAATTTAAAAATCGAAAATAAATTGAAATTTTTTTACCTCGGGCAGCACTTGAACGTGTGAAAAATATAAAAGTTTTTAAGGCTGTAATTACTTATTGCTTTGCGCGAGAAGAACTCGCACCAATGGTTTGAAATAATTTGACGATCACGAGTAGGACAAGGCAACACAACGGTTAGATCACGAGCTGTGGTGCCGGTTCAATACAGTCCGTGTCTTATATTTAGAGAAAAAAAATCTTGTAGATGGGTTTTTATACAAACAGATAGAAAATAGAAAATTTTATTCGCTTACGTAATTTAATCCCTCGTCCAGATTTTCAAACCAATTTATAACTTTCTGAAACATGTTGACTTCAAATGTATACTTTAACCTTTAAAACGCATATATTAGTTAAACTTATTTGGAAATTACGTTTAACTTCGGCCCGACGTTTCGATGCTTTAGAGTGTGTGGGGGAACAGTCTCGTGACCAGATATATCGGTTTTAAACCGTTAAAGTGTTTTATTTAAATGTGTACTACTCGCGTAAACTATAGACAGTATTTAAAATGTATGAAAGAATGATTCCTCTTTAAATGATCTAAAAGAATGTATGCAACAGTATATATCCATCTTTTAAGAATAATTTGCAAGAACGACGGGACGCGACTGACGTGGATTACACCAAAATAACGCGTACGAAGTCGCCGGCACAGCTAGTATACACTTAGTTTCAAAACATAAAACAATCAATAAGAAAACAAATCGATATACTGCTATAGCTACTCATAAAATGTAAATTCAGTTCAGATTAGAACAATACCGTTGTTAGTAAATTCCTTAAACAAAGACTAGTGTTTGACAAATATCGCCGCTTACGAAGGTTTCGATAATGGCATAAGAGGCATTTTCACCATTCAAGTGTCGCATGAGCGCTGAGTTAACATGAATTGTCGGCTGATAAGCTTTTCCGTTCTCCTATTATGCATCACATTTGTTGTAAGTATGATAGTTCATTTTAAATTATTTCATTTGTACTTAATTAGTGACGGGCGCGTTGGCGGTGGCAATGTATAACTAATAATCACGTGGTTTCGACCGCTATTGGATACAATTATTCGAATTAATTATTTTTCTGAAACATGACGACAATTTTAAAAGAAAATTGTGATATTTTTCACATGTTGGCACTATATAAATAATAAATCGATTATAAAAATTAAAAATACGACACGGGCAAGACTTGACCTCCACAGCCCGTGTCGTATTTTTAATTTTTATATAAATATGTAATTTTTTTCAATTTATAATCGACTGCACTTCGTTTGGATAATTGAATAAACGCGCGCGTAAACTACAGACAGTATTTAGTACTACTGCCTGTAGTTTACGCGAGTAGTACACATTTGAATAAACCACTTTAACGGTTTATAACGCGATATATATTAGTTAAACTTACAAACGACTGCTGCAAAGCATTCGAAACGTCGCGCCGCAGTTAAAAATAATTTTCAAATAAATTTAACTAATATATATCGCGTTTTAAACCGTTAAAATGTTTTATTTAAATTGGAATACTAAATGGGTGGTAGTAATATTGAGATTTCACCATTAATCGAACCCTATGCTGGTCTCTCATAAGTCATAAAAAATGAATATAAATAACTGTTATTAATATTTAATATTGATGAACTCAAGATATATACGACTTTCTTTATCAACATGCTAATACAAAAAGTTACAAATTATAATATTTTTCTAAATACAACTTTTTAAGAGTTTTACCAACACGGCTTTTACAGTCTATGATAAAAAAGTAATATTAATAATTTATTACATTTAACTGTAAGTATCTTTATATTAAGCAATGTATATAAGTGATTGTATATATAATTTTCGAAAAAATTCAATAACCTAAAAATCTACTTCGGACCGCCTCAGCCGTTGTGCCTGCACGACCGGAACAGTTTATTATTTCCCGGGGATTCGAAGTTTGGACCACCAAGCGAGGTTAATATTTAAGGATCTCTTAGTGTGACTACGTGACCCCAGAACGATTCAATATTGTATTGTAACGTCTTTCCCAAACTGTAAATTTCCACATAAAGTTCATCTGATGAAGACAGTTCTGGGATAAAACTGTTTTTATTATCATCGTTACGGGTTTATTTTTTGATAAATGTAAGTTATATTTTTATTGTTCAATTATCTTTTCGATATAATGGAACAAGATGTTACAAGCCACAAATTACTTGTATAGTGACGTTTTATGTTTCACTAGCTGTTTCAGCGACTTCGTTCGTGAAGAATAGTTATTTTGGACAATAAAATTTGGTTTTGCGAACCTCCTCATCTTTCTCAATTATACCGCTTGACGAAAGAAATTTAAAAGCGCGGACCTTTTTTTAGATAAATAAATATTTTAGTTAATTGTGCTATATACTCACTTCATATCGCTCAGTCTAAACATCGTACATACACGTATCATTAAAGTTACACGCTATTTTGTATTGTATGCATATCTTTTCTCTCTATACAGGTAACCAAAATTGTTCTACCTCACAAGCTAAGGTATTTGGAGAACATGTTAAATGCAGAAGTCATAGCGAAGGCCGCTAAAATTCGACAAAGGATTGAGGCAAATCCCAACATTCAAGATGGTGACAAAAGTTGGCCACTACTATTGGCCAAGTACCAAGAGGACGAGAAAAGAAACATCCCCTCGTATTCATATAACAGTCTTTATGGACGACGAATGCCGAACTTCTAGTATTACTTCGCTTTAAATACTGTCTATAGTTTACGCGAGTAGTACACATTTAATTAAAACACTTTAACGGTTTAAAATGCGATTTATAAGTTAAACTTATTTGAAAACGATTTTTAACTTCGCCTCCCCGTGACCACGGCTGCTGCAAAGCATCCGTAACGTCGGGCCGAAGTTAAAAATCATTTTCAAATAAGTTTAACTAATATATCGCGTTTTAAACCGCTAAACTGTTTCATTTAAATTACTTCGCTTTATTAAATTTTAAGTAGTCCTAAAGAAATTGTAACGTAATAATTAAAAAAAGAACTAATCACTTTTGTTCTCGCATTTATTAAAAAAACCAAAGAATCGAGACAATATATATATATGTTCGCAAACAGATTTAATTTATACCAAAAGAAATTGTAAAAAACTTTTCAGATATTTTTTTACATAAAGTAAGTTAAAACAGCAATATATCTAAAACATATGAATAACTAGAATAGTTATTTTGACGTCCTAATTTGTTTTTTGCAAACCTTGTCTTCATCTTTATAAATTAAAGCTGTTACACATGACGTCGGTCGCGTACCGTCGTTCTTGCATGTTAATCTTAAAACATAGACACACTGTCGCGGAAGAAATATATAGTGTAAAAAATCATTCTAAAATACACATTGTATAGTTTTGTGAACCGCTTTAGCACACACACTTAACGAAAACCTCTAAGATGAATACTTTCCCTGTTTTTCCACATTTCCCACTGTTTCTTCGCTTCTATTGGTCGAAACGTAATTCTAAATCCTTCATTGATAAACCCTCTAACCGACACAAAAATATTTTTAATTCGACTAACTCTTCAGCTGATATTGAGAGGTATTCTGGATTATCCTTGTTCAGTGTTGCCCGTTTCCCTAACCACGGCTGCTGGTTAACATCTAAAACGTCGAACCGTAGTTAAAATAACTAATAAGTAAGTTAACTAATAAATTTTTATGCCCAATATGAACTACTAGTCATTTACTATTACGCAAAACATTATCTGTAGTTTACACGATTAGTATTCAAACACTTAAACGATTTAAAACGCGATATATATATATATATTACTTTTTTTACTTATATATATATAAGTTACACTTATTTTAATTGCGGCCCGACGTTTCGGATGCTTTACAGCAGCTGTCTCCCCGTTACCACGGGTTTTTTAAATGAGTTCATTTCTTGTTATGTCAGAGAACAGTTTTTATCAAACTTTAACAACAATCATTTGTTTCTACTTACTTCATTATCATATAAACATTTATATTTTCTAACCAACTCCACCCATTTTTCATTTGGTACCATGATAAATTTGTAAAAAATTACAACCGTTAAGCAACTGCGCCAGTCCCGCTCAACTGCTTTGGTGTAAACAATCCAATGGCGGACGTAGTAATACAACTGCGGCGATCCCGCGCCTGCGCCGAGACCGCGCTGCTATCGTCGAAGTGTTTTGTGGAAGAGCAGCGCCGGCGCAGTACCGCAGCAGTTAGGTTCAGTGGGCCCGCGTTTGTTCGTTGTGTCATCCCTCATATAACTACATTATTTACAAATGTAGACGCACCGTTACCGCACGGCAACTGCTATTCGTGTGCCCAAACCATTACTGTCCCGATGGAGCAAAATTATCAGCATTGCACGAATGTAATTATTTTATCAACGCCTCACTATATAGATACCAGTATTAGTTTATAGCAGCGATAGTACTGTTCCTATTGTTAATGTATTGATACATATTTGAATAGATTTATTTAAATTTACGACGCCGTAAAAAATATTTAGAGGACAAAATTCGCATATGTTATGCTTACTGCAGATATAAATAAACAATTGTTTTCTTACGACTTGTTTATTCCGTATCAGTGACTCCGCGAAGTTGTTTTGGGCAACCAAATTTGTGTTTGCAAACCTATATAAATTTAAGCTGCCCACGACATCGTTCGCGACGCGTCGTTCGGGTCCTGTCATACTTGCAAGTTAATCTTAAAAGATAGACATATAGTGTCGCGGACATTTTTTGGATCATTTAATTCTTTTATACATATTTTTAGTATAGCTTGAACCGTTTTCGCAGCGTACGCATCTTAAACCCACGGAGATGAAACATTTCCCCAGAATTTTTCAATTCGAACTCGTAGTTCCTGAGATTAGCGCGTTCGAACAAACTCTTCAGCTTTATATATTAGTATAGATTTCCTGAAACAAACAGTAATAGTAGACAATATTGCCAGTTTTTAATTACCTCTGGCAGGTTCTAAAGATTCCGCCCGGGTCACGAACTACCGTCGACAGAAAAAGCCGCTAAGTTTAATAGCGTTTTGGTTGCAGTCTGCTTGGTGGCTGTATTGTCTTGTCTGTTCATTATCATAAAAACCGTGTGTTCTTTCATGTTATATTTTCACACACAGCCGCACAACTAAGACTCCATTAAAGGATAGTAACGAATCAATAGTATTCGTATGTATAATACGTTGCCAGTTGAGGTTGCAAATTTATCAATAGATAAGTTTTAAAAAGTCAGAAAATTTAGATTGTCACAGACAAGTTTGCCTGGCAGTGATATGAATTGCTCCTTAGGTTAATCAATTCACAAAAATGTATTTGGTCTATGAGACATGTTTATAAAAGCCGGACTGAGTTTCTTGGGTGTTCTTCTCGGACATGTTGCTCTTTGGAACCCTTTGTAGAATCACGACAGACAGACAGACAAACATTTTTTGACGAATCTAAATAAATGTTGAAATTTTAAAGAGAAAGTGTATTTTATTTTTAATAAACAATACACTGTTTTAGTAGCTTTTTATCGATTATTCCCAGTTAAGAGACAATAGGCACGCGGTTCCTTAATCAGTAATTATCCTGAATGTAAACCTATATTTAAAAATAAGCCTTTAAATTCATATTTACTAGAATACCCACACATGTAAATGCCTATGATTTCAATATTTCTCAATATGCTAAGGGAATTGTAAAAAAAAGTTCCATGGCACTGAAATGGATCATATCTGTGTACGTTTCTTTGATCGGTTTTATTTTCACGCAAGTAGTTTATCAGACTCACACGGGCTGTGCCCTGCCTGATCGAAACAATCTATTGTTTGTCCCGGGATTCGAGCCCGTCGAACAATACTAGGTAGCACGTTTAACCATTTGGCTAGAGGCGGTCATTCTAAAGGATAGTGGAAATGAAAAAAAAAAGTGATTTTAAATTCATTATATTGTATAAACTTTCATTCATTTATTTTGGCATTTAAATTGTACTTTGAAATATTACAACCAAATATACAATTCCGATTTATTCCTTTTAAGCGTGAGAAAAAGAAATCTTTGAAAATGGCCTTTTCTATTAACAAAAATGTAAATATATAAAATAATAATAAATTATCAATATAAATTAAAACAGATAACAATAATAACATTTTAGGTAGGCAGAGACAGTAAAGACGACTTGCCACCACATTCATAATCATCACTTCTTGAACAGCTGGTAAAGCCAAGTAATTTCAGATTTAATGAATATGAAGGTGATCGTAAATGAACTTAGGCGAGTAAGGAAAGAAAACATAGATTCATCAATGGCCTCCCTATATAATTTAAATTTCAACAACAAATACAACATAAAAGTCGATTGGAATTTTAAAATAAAAATCTTTTAAAATATAATGAATTGGAAGATTGGACTTGCACCGAATGCACTCGAGATCAGCATTTTGGATAAAAAAGTCGATATTTAAATTTAGAACTCACGAATCGTCACTGTCTTTTTGAATGTGACGCAAAATATATATAATGTTACATAGTATGTGACAATGATATAACAACATTGCCACAACAGAGAACGTCGTTGTAAAATTAGACCTGATTTCAAAGATTAATTGGTTAAGTCATAAATGATTAATGATCTTTGTTAATGACGAGTCAAAAAGCCAACAAGTAAATTGGCTCAAAAAATATATTTTATGTCTTTGTTGGAAGAAAGCCTCGCCATTGCAAGTGTTTCTTGACAAATGCAATTATCTTTGTCATTCTGGTTTCCTGAACACAAAATTAGTTTGTGTAAATAAAATCATTCAAGTAAAAGAAAGCTGCGAAAATCTCGATATGTTCGGTTTGTCAAGAGCTTATTGATAACTAATGGAACCGTGGATAAACTTCTTGAAATTACTAATTTAGTTTCCAGAGACTACGTTTTAGGGTGATATTAAGTTAGGCGAGTGTTCAATTTCACCAACAATTAATAGCATTGATTAAAGTTAACCAACTGTTTGAGTAGAGATTTTTGTATGGTGTTAACATCGAAACAAGTTAATATTAGTCGTCAGCTGTCTTAATCAGTGTAATTATTTCTTTGTAAGCTGGGCCTAACTTAACGCAAATTAGGTTGATAAAAAAACGATTCAGTCGGCAGAGGTTCGAATCGAAATTACAGCGGATGTGAAGGTGCGTCAATGACTCGATAACAGAATGGCAGACTTATTCTCGATTAATTAATCCGATCGACACTATTTAATCGATAACAAAATATAACGGAACCATTGTCCATACATGTACGACTATGCACGAACGATTCAATTTCCATTTGAAAACTGATTCGATTCTTAAATCAATCAATCTGGATAAAATTTTGTCTCAATTTTACCAAGAAACGATGACACTGATCAAGAAAGTTGACGACCGCTAATGTTTAGTTGGTATGCCAAATCCATATACAAATCTCTAGTTCACCTGAGGCGTTATATTTTATCTATGAAATTATTCGGTTAAAGTATCGTATAGTATCGTAATGAGAGAATACAATGGAAACTTAATCAGAATTTTTAAGACGAATGTATAATACGTTAAATATCTTCTCTACCTCTTCAATTTTAGGCCTGCCTAAATAAAGCACTTAACGATTTAAGTCGTGGAATGTATGAGGTAACCGTACTTAAAATAAATTGCAAATAAGTTAATACATTTCGCGGTTTAAACCGTTAAGTGTTATCTCAATAAAATGTTAATCTAAACGTTTCCTTGCATTTCGTCAATTTAGTCAAATTGTCAGTGTTAATTTTTGGAAAGGCTTCGCCGTTATTAAATATCTAGATATCGAAGAAATAAAAATCTAATAAAGCTCTGAACGTACCTAATAAATAATTCCCTATCTAATAATTACAATACTATACACACAGTTTATCTACAGTACAAGTCTTCATGAATGTCATAGAATCCATAGAAATAACAGAATCCGTACTAAATCATCTAACATCACTGCTTTTCGATATCTTACGACACAAAAACAATAAATTAAGTTTGCTAATATACAAATAATTATATTGCGTCTACTATTATTATTTGATATGTAAAACGTTAGTCTATTTCACCTTACATTATGTGCCTTGTCTCCTAGGTCTTTATATCAAAATTCTTTTTACAACTAATTAAATAAATGTCATTTGAAGTCGACGTTTCTTATTTGACTCACGAAATATACGAGAATTATCACAGAATAGAACAAAACGGAATAAAATTGAGTAACCGTTTATGAGCGAGCCAAATAAGAAGCGCGTTAGTTGAACGTAGTCCAACCTTTGGGTACACCCGAGCTTGCCTCTTGGTCCGCACTAGAAGTACTTGAGAAATTATTAAAACTAAACTGGCTGAAGTCTAAACCGTATTCGTGTAAAAGAGCGCTGTCGGTAGACGAGTGCAAGTGCTCGTCGATTTTCTCATTTTTGCCCCGATGTTTTAGTGGATCGAAATCTTCTAGGGACACAGCGCTCGGCGATACGTCCAGCTTTATGAGATCCACACCCGAGAAGCACGACTGAAAAATGTATAAACCAATTAATTCAGAGCGACGAGGAAAACCGGCCGTGCAAGACTGACCCGGAAACCTAAATTCACCCCAATCTCATGAAAACGCAAGCACGGGATCGAAAAGAATCGCACACACAAACGAATCCTCGCACCAACCCAGGACAATACTGACACAACAGTGACTTACCGGCGAAAACTAGGGAATTTTGATTGTAATTACTACAGAAGTGCCTAATTTCAACCTGAAAAACAGAAAAGCAAGACTTTTGTACAATAGCATAGTGGCGAGAAAATGGTGAGATTATCAGAATTAAATGTACACTGATAAGATATTAGTATGTAAACTAATTGTGCTTTACTTACGTGGGTTAAAAAAAACCTTCTAATTGTGTTATTCGTTAATACTCTTTACTGCCTTGTTAAAACCAAGAATAATTTAGTAATAGCCTACATCCGTGGTACTTTGTGTGCGTTCTTTTTTATATGTATGTATTTGATTTCCATATCAGTATTGCATTATTCTATCGAGCCGTTGGCTTAAGCTACAAGAAATTAAGTAGAAAAACACTAGTTCCTAAGAAAAATTTAACAACTCAATTGTGTGGTGTTGCGAGGACTTTATTATTTACTTTATACTGGTCTCCCATTAACGCCATAGCTCACATAACAGCGGATTAGTTTTAAAGGCTAAATTTCTATCAAACGCTTATCTTTTCAAAAGAGAGCAGTGTTATATCTAACGCATTTTGAATATGGAAATTTACAGGAGAAAAGCCCTCTAAGGTAAATCAAGAAGAAGGGTGCGATAGAATAATTATTACCGCGGAAACTGTTGTTATTGGACGTGCCCTATATTGCGTTTATAGCCGAACTGTAATTACAATGAAACGTGGTTCAGTGGGACTTGGTTATATGAGAAACCTCTATTATTGAATTGCAATGAGGTCCCGGTTCTTTTAATATAATTACATCTGTATATGGAACTTTTTGATCCAGGTTAAATGAGATTTGATTTCTAAGACTTTTTCAACGGTTTCCACTATAATTGAGACTCTATCTCAATTACCTGTATAAGTGACACAAATTCATTATGACACGTGTTTAGTAGGTATCACTGTACTTCGTAAACATCAAAAATGTCCTTATCGGATCTACGATAGATTAATTAATAATTATATTTGTAAACGCACATGCACAAGTCAGGTCTCATGTGCATAGAACAAGCATGCACGTGTTGGAGGCACAGTTAGAAATACATTTTGACTGTATGCATAGGGTGTTAAGACGCCTTGTTTACAATGCTTAAAAATGCAGAATAATCAAACCAAGTCATAAATTCAGTCATGCTCTGTGAATTATGCAACAATATGAAGGTAGGCCGTATCATTCATGCTATACGTGTTAAAATGTACACTAGTTTATCATCGATTACCTACTCTTGAAGTTCGTTGAAAGCAGTCAAAAACAATAGCAACTAAGAATATACAATCAAATAAAAATTTGTGTTCAGTTAAAAAAATAAAACATCTTTTTGTTACTGATCTCTTTATTTCTAAATCTAACTACTACAACGGCGTTTGTATACATAAACAAAAAATAAAAGTAACAGAAAAAGCTTGTAAATAACTTATCAAAACCTTAGTAAATAAAGGAGTTCTCTAGTGGAGTAAAAATAAAGTCGTAAAGAATACTTAAAGTAAAAATGTAACGAGTTTCATAGTGTTCAGAATAACACCGTGCACTGGGCGTCAGTCTTATTATTCTCAGTAGAAGGAGAGTATATGAACCAACAACAGCGCCTTCTATCTTCTAAACTTTGCCTATATATTGTATGCGGCAAACAAAAACGCCGATCGAGTAATATACGAAAATAAATTTTTGACTGTTTCAACATGCCTGTAACATACCCTAAGGGTTTGCTAACATGACAAACAAGTTGAGGCCGTCACTACATCTACAAAATAATGTCTTTAGTTCCAAAAACTTATCACATGCGGTAAATATTAGTCTTATAAACTATAAGTTTGAGCATTCCGTGTCTTGGTCTTATATATATAAAGGAAAGGTGGCTTTGAGTCTTATTAAGTATGTGCAGGGATAACGTAATAGTTACAGAATAAGCGAAAATGATGCAGCTATTTCATGGTAAATAGATATTGATTGAGAGGAACTTCGATTTATAGCGAAGCGATACAACTGAAAAAAGCGTTAGTTTACACCACGTTCCTTACACAAAACGTTCATCTAGCCTCAATATCCTTATCATATCCTAATCCTAATTCACAGCCAAGATCAGTCGTGGTGTTACGAGGCGCACTGGTGTGCCGCAGCTTATACCCGTGGGCGTGTCGTAAAAAAATCTAACAGTAACGAGAGAAGAACTAATGCCAAAAATAATGTTACCTCCATCACTGTTCGCAACCTCGGGGCATTGGATTGGGGTTCGGCCCGATGATTCTGTACGGGACGCGGTAAGCTCAGGTTCACGACAGCCTCGTCGTTGTCCCCGAGGCGAATGGTGCTGGTGCGAAAGGCGGATGGTTGCGTCTGTTCGCTTCTCGTGATCGTTCTAACAATACCGCCTGCTGGGCGAGAGGGGCCTGAGCGCGGTGGAGGCATCGGCGCGTCAGACGTGTCAACCAGCCTCATCGTCCTTGCAATGGGATAACGCTCGGGGGTCGGGGGACGAGCCCGTATACGGGGCGGTAATAATTGTGATAGTGGAACCTGCAAATCAAAGGTAAAGCACGCTCTACATCAGCCGAAGCTGTTGGTCGCATTGGAGTGTGACTGTCGTATACCGGTTCTCTACCGAGCCCGTCGCCAACCGGTAACAGAGGGCAATTGAGGTTTTTCTAAAGCCGATCGGCAAACGCGTGCATCTCTCTTCCTACTTCTGTTACGTTGGTTATAGTAATAAATACTTAAAATAACTTTCCGTCGCCAAAGCCAGATCACTTTTTGCCGATAGCGATGAGATATTTCAACGAAACTCTCCCCGTCTGCTTTAGTGCCGCAATATAATTCAGCAACGAGATTAGGACGCAAACGGCTCAACCGTTTTTCAACAGATTGTGTTATAAATACTAAGGCTCTCTTCAGTAACAGATGAAACAAACAATAATCAAAAGTACCAAGGCACAAGCTAATTAAGCTACAAAGCAAATGAAAACTATCGCGTTGAGTGCACCGTAATACAAAGAATTACCCCAAAATGAAATGGACATAATTCCGAAAAGGCCGGGTAGCCCTTACCTGGCTTTTGCAGCGCGCTTTTCACACACTTATATTATTTACCACGATACGTTCGATTAATATTAAGAATATATAACAACAACTATTTTATATATTATTATTTATCAGTACAACGGTCTTACTCCAATGCGATAGACAAATTAAAGACAAAACCGTGCTAAATAAATGGAATAAAGAATTCCCATCTGTCTAAATGTACGAGAATGGGAGCGTGCCTACGATACTACAAGGATGAAAGTTTATGCGATATGGTCGATATAACACGTCAACAATGAATTAGATTTTAACTATTAGTAATATTATATATGTACATACATTTTCATCCGTATACCATCGATTGTGCCATATTAAAAAATCATGCGCATACACATAGATCGCAGGACTAGACGAATATCACAAATGCGGATGGGCTCGTACACGCACGCGGGCATAACTCTTGACACGTTATTTTTTTTTTGAATATGGGCCAGTTTCTATATGGTGCTATTTGCATTGAATGCAAAGTAAGAGACCCGCTTTAAGTATATTTACAAAACTACTGAAAAACCTGCAACTACAGAGAGTTCACGTATCAAAAGATATGTTCTATTAAGCAACTAGAATGACAAGTGTAATCAAAATGCGAGCCAATAAAAGATATTAAAGTTATTCATTCGTATGACGTATGCCGAAATATATATACAGGAATATCGTCAGTATAATTTTGAAGATTTTTCGTGAAGTGCTAAATTAAATTTATGTTAATTTATGTTATTTAATGGTAATGGGGGTATAGACTGAAAATCAGAGCTCAGCACGCCGTACTGAGAGCAATTTTAGGTGCATTTTAGCACAAAAGGTAATTCTTCAAGTTTATAATAAATACTTTAGTTTTGTAAATGTCTTAATAAACGGTTTTCATATATTTTCATTGGCTCATCATTTTTGGTTATGCTGTGTGAATGTGTGTTAACTTACATTATCATTGGACAGGCTGTGAGAGCTGTTAGAGTTGCTGATGCTGCCTTGAGGGTGACAGTTCACTTCGTCTGCTACATCTATAGGGTCACCGGAGAAGGGCCTAGTTCTGATATGGTTCGGTGGGGTTGGCCGACAACTTCTAGGTGACGCCGACAAAGTGGAACTAAAAAAAACGTAGATCACGCTTAATGAGATTTGTCGCATACGCCACTCTTTACGTTTCTCCTTTAGTAACGGCAACTTGAGACATTTACATACGTTCCTTAACGCTTAATACGATTTTTGTTGTGTTGAAAATTTGCAATATAAAACCACATACAACAAATCGAACTCTGTTAATTGCTAAACTACCTGTTCTAAGTTACGTACCATTTTAAATAATAGATATGAAATTAAAGGAAACTAAGATTCGATAAATTTGGAAAAAAAAATCGTGGGAAAACTTCATATCAAGCACGAGCTAACACTGTCCTTGAGCAGAAAGTAAATCGATAAAGCGCGTAAAAACCATCTAAATCTTTATGCCAAACAAATATAAGTGATTATTTTAAATAATGTTATGTATAACTACACTACGTATTAAATGTAATGTATAATTTAATAACAAAACATTCAACTTAGAGCATAACACATAATATAATGTGCTTTCACGCTTAAGACGTGTATTGGTGGGGTCAAGGGTACAGTCAAGACGAAATATGATAAGAACAGCACAGGCTTTGAAATATACCCAAGATATATTACCTGCTTTCGCCTGTTCCTAGATGGGAGGAGGTCATCTCATTCTTCGCTTTGTTCAAGCCTCTCACAGCGGAGCGGACATTTTTCCCGCCTTGGCGCATCTTTAAAATAGAAATTGTTTCCTTTAAAAGATAGCCACAAACTCAATCAGAACAGAGCAAATCTCTTGGAAAGTGTCAGCTACGCATCATATCTATCACTTTTCTTGATATTTATTATACAACGAAACTTGTACACCGTCTTGTGGTTTAAAACGCGAAACATATTACTGAAAATTATTTACAAATCAATTTTAATACTAATTATATATTTCACGTTTTAAACCGTTAAGTGTTTTATACTTTTGAACCACATTAGAATTAGTATCAGCAGGCGTTCTGCTGTCCAAGTAGAACAAATAAGCTACATCAAAACAAAATATGATTTGCACAAAAATCAGCAAAATACAGACTCGTGAAATTCGCCCATTATTTGCTAACAATGAAGCATACAGATGTAGTACATGCAAGAAGTTATTATATCTGTGCAATTTATTCGCCATTTTGTGGAATGTACCATAGTATACATGTTTATATGAAGATTTGAATAATGCATTTACATTCAAATAAAACACTAACGGTTTTAAACGCGATAAATTAGTTAAAGTTATCTGAAAATAATTTTTAACTTCGGCCCGACATTTCGGATGCTTTGCAGCAGCCGTGGTCACGGGGAGACAGTCGTCGAGAGAGACGTCTTCACAAGTCAGTGGAACTACTATGGCTGTTAAACAACATAGATCAACGAGAGTTCAGTTTCAACTCGTACGCAACAGCAGCTCCGTCACGCATATAACACAATAGAAATGTTAGAAGGAAGATAATCATTTTTAACACGACAGTACTTTCCACTTAGCGGTGTACAGGAGACAGTTAACTGAACGGTCATTTGACTCACCGTTTTTACAGCCGTTCGTACCGCGGGGTTGGCCTGCAAATATTAACACTTTAAAGCAAACAACTCATCCCATGTACTAACATCATGTATGCACAGTAAGAGCTTATTATAAATAACTATTACTAACAGTGATAGACTGCTAACAAGCAACTATCTAATTGTGGTTTTGTTGCTTCAAGCCACATTCGGTATTAAAAAAACACTAACTCAAACATGGGGAATCCCCCATAAAATGTAAGTCCATAATTAAAATATTACTACTACTGTTCTCCATTGCTACTAGTGGCATAAGCTACAGACAAGACTGCATATTTATTGTGTGATGTCAAGTGCACAGGTCGTTCCAGCCAACCTCGTTGAGAGTAGTTTAATCAAAAATTTAGCAAACAGTCAAGGCTCCCTGTTAACCTCAATTTCTGTTAAGTATCAGCATGCAACATTAATTAATGCCACAGATTATGCAACACACCAGACAAGCAAATCACTATAACAAGATAGGCTTCGGAATGGCTATAGAAAGTATGCATAAATCTATACCAATATATCAAGCTGAAGAGTTTGTTTGAACGCGCTTTTTCAAGAACTAAGTAGTGGTTGGAATTGAAAATTATTTTTGTATTGATAAGACCATTAATAGACGAAGCCTTTAACCTAAAAAGCATCAGGGTTCGACCAACTGCTGCGAATTCGGTTCAAGTTACCTAAAAATATTTATGAATTAATAATTCTTTAAACTCTTTAAAAACTTGCAAAGACAGCGGGACGCAGCGATGTTGTAGATAAAAGCTGAAATTAACAAAGATGAGAAGGTTTACAAAAACAAAATTTTGATGCCCAAATTAAATATTCTACGCAAACCAAGTCGCGGCCACAGCTATTACGAAGTGATAGAGAAGCATTAACTACAATTCGCAGACGAAAACTACGTTGTCATAGGCAACGGTCTCTTCCAACACCACCGTCGAAGACACATAACACTACAAATACCACAATCAGATTTATTGAAAATTGTTCGGATTCCGATGGCGTAGTCCACTCTTAATACACATACACTGCCAGGTGCTTCTTGCAGATCAACAGCTTCTTTCTGATTGTTTTAATAAGATTAAAAAACTGAACTCTGCTAGAACTCCCAATAAACTGAAATCACGAGGCGAATGCTTTATGGGACAAAGTAAGGAAAGAGACATCCAAAAGGTGGTAACAGTATCGTAAATCCGAGCACTCGACAGATGATACTCTTATGTTAGTGGAGGCGACGTCATAAAAACTAGTCGTAGTAATAGATTCCGGAGCATGAAACAAATTGTCCACTGAAATCTAAGTTGCCTGAAGAGCATAACGCGAACCCACCAAAATCTCTGCGATGCGGAAGGACTGTCTGTACTGTCAGTCGTTATTTCAGGATCCCTGTTCCCGCCGAATTCCAAAGATTTAAACAGGGGAGATTTGGAACCGATTTTCTTCTGTCAATAATAAATGCTGAAATAAAACCGTAGGTAGTGATCCATCCACCCACGTCTTGGAGAACGTGGTCATTTCATCTTTCACATTATCTGTAACAAAGTATGGCAGACAAGTATCGGGCCAACAGAATGGACGCAGTCCCCTTAAACGAAATAGGCTAGAATAAGCAATAACTGTCGCCAGATTACAACTGCTACACCAGATATTTGAAATATGTACGCCTCTAAGATGATTTTACAAAAGCCTGTGTAAAACGCCCGACTCTGTGAACAACGCTTATGGAAATGGGGCTGCCTAAACATCTTGTCCATATTCACGATGATATTTACGACGACGGTACAGCCTCAGGGCGCTCAAATAATTTCTTTACGATACATGGACTATTCTTTTTGCAACTGAAAGTGGAGCGCATCAGCTTAGAATTTGGATTGAAAATTAATCTGGACAGGCTTGTTGGTTGGCTGTAATAGTAGCAATGTAGGGCTAATAATAAACGGCTCGTGGGTCGATCCCCACCGGGTCTAACATTTTTCTGAAACATTTTGATCGTCGTCTCGAAGTCTGGATTTTAAACGGGTGGTAGGAATATCGAAATTCCTTCCGGATCACGAATCGCCGTCCACAGATGAAAAAACTGCGCACTTTAATCACGTTTCGGTTTCACTCTGTGAATTTCCGAACATCTAAAACAACGGGGCAACAGCACATCTTGTTTAAACGCAAGTGAACTCCATGCTTGTCACTCCTCCGCTATCACGAAAAAAAAATCGCACCAAAACCAACATCATAATTATCGACCTCGCCAGCAATATCTCTTCGTGCTCGAATCCTATGTATACATTCAAGCATTCATTTCAAACTAAATTAAAACTAAATACTGTAACGATATATAGCGATTAATGGGTAATCGCAAGGTCGGCGTTGGATAAATTAAAAAAGGTAGCCATGCCATGGACTCCAAGTGCAATAGATACGAAGTAGACGCTCTCAAGACGTGGTGCTACTGCAAGAAAATGTTAAGAAAATCATGGACAAACTTTCGTACAAATATTTCTATCTAGCAGGAACTCGGCATCAAGCACGCGTTGAGAAAATGAATATCCAGTAACTGTAAACTCATAAATACTTAAAATTCATAGAATTCTTTATAAAGAAACTGACACAACTCAATTTTTATGGCACTAACAACAAGAAGAAGTGTTGAGATCTAAGACTCCAGCCTCAAATGCAGAAATTGTGTTAGACACAAAAACAAATATAGTCCTAACTCTTTGCAAGTAAATTTTTACTTTAAACAAAGTATGTTGTAACGTATGTACAGGAATAAAATATACTTATTTTTAAAAATTTGACTTCCGCAAAATCAACGAACATTTGACATAGCGGATAAAACTTCTATATTGGATGCATATAGCATCCAAGCGAAAAATATATACCTGATACATTTTACATTTGACAGGCAAAGTCTCCAGAAATACTTGGTGAAGGGGAGGAAAAAGAATCATTACAGAAGGTAAAAATTTACCTTATCTTTCACGTTTTTGAAGAAGGCTCCTCCCTCCTTCTTCATATTCTTTATCCAGTTTCTATATTGGGTCTTAAAGTTTTGTGCGCTGCCCTCACCAGCACTGTAGATGTTGCATTCCACTTCGAACTCATCATGAATCCCCCTTCCCGAATTGAGGAGGTCCAGCCTCTCATCTATGAACTGTCAAGGACAAAGAACTCGGTTTTCAAATATGTATATGCTTAATTAAATTATGAAAAATGTGAAAAATAAAGAAGAAAGTTTAATTAATTTTATATGAATTAAATCGATCCCCACCGACGGACCTTGATCCATCATCTACTCTGATCAATTGAGCTATCGTGTCGTTGTTACGTGTTGAATTTCTTCAACCGAATACCGTTTGCCCAATGTAATTTTAACTGTAACGCTTATATTTTGTGTTCATAAGTCAGTAAATAAATTCAGTGCTTTTACTATTCACCAACCTGCTGGAAGATCTGGGATTCTAGCATTTTGCCCAGGAATGGCTTCATGGCCTTCCTGGTATTGACAAATAGATCGGCATTAAATTTGATCCGTTGTCCATTTTCAATCCTAAAAAAAAGAAATATATGCATTTGTCCGTAAGCTAATTTAATACTATTGTGGAGGAGTCCCGCAGAGGATTTCGGCCCGTCAAAGGGACCGGCGTTGTCGACTGGCTCGATATCGCACGCTGGTACCAACCGACCCACGCACCCTGCTGTGCGTATGTAGCTTAGCTAGTTACCCCTCTCACTGAGGTATATCGTCGAGAGAAACAAGGCGAATATTGTTATTAGAAACACTTGGACGTATTTCGTTAAAGGGGGTCTCTTCAAATAAAATCCCTTTTTTCTTCTTATTGTTCTTACAAAGTGCTTCTTCCTTATGGCTTGATGCGACATGTTTTTTTTTTGAATGGATTAGATAGCATAGGAAAAAAAAGGAAATATTGGCTCAAACATCCACCAAACCACACTTAACGAAGCACTTATATTATTAACTTGACATTTACGCCTCTGTAGCCAAATGGTTAAACGTATTGTCTAGTATTGCGTTAAGCGCGAAGGTCCTGGGTTCAATCGCAAGGAAACAATTGATTGTTTCGATCGGGCAGGGCACAGAAGCCTGATCAACTACTTGCCTGTTAAGGAACGAATCAGTGAAACGGACACAAAAATGATTTGGCCCATGCCCCACGAGGGGGAAACGGAATTTTAGAATAACAAATTATTAACTTACGACATCGCTTCCCTGTAGCCGCCGAACATACCAACTAATGTCCGGAGAAAAGACCTGGCCACAACGTCGCCTAAAGCGTTATCGGTATCCAAGGTTTCTTTCAAATTGGCGACCTGGAAATTGTAATCAAATTCTTTTTTATTCTTTTTCATTTACCATGGTTAGAAAAATCAGAAAATTGATTTTACCGTTTACTTACAACATCTTTCCACTCTTATCTTCGAGTGTTATGGTTAGAAAGTGCACATTAAAAAAAAGCTTATAAATTTATTCCCTTAATAACGTTTCAAAAATATTTTTGTGTAATACGGGTTCTCGGTTATAGGCACAAAATATGGTAAACAAAATGTAATGCGTCAATATTGAATAAATAATAAAGTAATAACTCGACGACAAAACACAGATTACATATACTGACCAAATCCCTGGGTAAACTTTCTTGGTCTTTAAATGGTGTCTTGAGTTCGTTGGAATCGATGTCCAATATAACGACTTCGCCTAAGTCAGACATTCTTACTGCCTGAAAAAAAATATAATAATCAACAATTTTGATCATCTTATCCAGCAGATCTACTCGTGCTCTTTGTATGTACTTATTTTATGGTCTCATAAGTAGAGCACGGATCTTTAGCGCTGGACGAATCCTGCGCAGAAGTCAAAAATAAGGTATCGAAGGGGCGGAAGCGGGCGCGGGGCGAGTGAACATCATGCGCGCTAACGTTGATTGGTTCCCCAGTCGTGTTGTCTTTCTCGGACCACTACGACGCTCCGCTTGTTTCTAGAGTTCAGTCTCATTTTCCAATCAATTACGTGCGCGATTATAAAAGGTGCGCAACTATATTCAAAAAAACTATATTCGAAAAGTAACAACTGTTTTTCATTGCAATTGAATATGTCAAAAATTGAGAATAATCAACAGTAAACATTATTTAGGTAAATAGTGGTTATTTTTTGTAAAACCAATTTGTTATAACTACAATAAAAGTATACCACATGCACAGGAAAACTATGACCTGCAATGTAACACACGAGTTAACAACTACGATATTAAATACTGTCTGTAGTTTACGCGAATAGTACACATTTAAATAAAACACTAACGGTTTTAAACGGGTTATATATTAGTTAAACTTATTTGAAAAAGCCGTGGTCACTGGGAGAGGTTTTATACCGAAGTGTTTTGTTTAAACTATGATATTGTGCGGTTCTTGATTGTATCCTGAACAGTATTTTATGTAAAGGTCAAGCTAACATTCCATGCCTTTTTAACCAAGTTACGAGATTAATGACAATAAAAAAATTAAGAACATTGACCATCAGCTGAACCAACTTTTTCAAACTTTAGACAAGATAACATCACATAAATTCCTTTACTAACAAAAGCCTATATCATATTAGCCTGTACTTTACATATTTCTTATGTATATTTGACTCACCTCTAAAACGCTTCTGGGCACACCAATAAGAAATGGCATGGGTGCTAATAAGTAATCCACCAAGTGTTTAGGTAAGATCGGTATGAAAATGTGTTGCCATGACATCGGAAAGAGCAATGCATTGGCTGCTTGAACACAGGCAGATAGGCGCGACGGCTTCGAGGCGACCAAGGCTATTCTGCGTTCATGAAGCATTGCTGCCCACAGGCCAATCATGCACTTCGAATCCAGGGCGCTGAAGTATTCCGTAAGATTGACCTAAAAAAAATGACAAAATCTTAATTATTTAGTGCTTATAATTATAAGGTCTAAACAATTTTTATATTTTTTACTCAACTACAATGCAAAGAAGAGACAATATCTGCTATTGTCAAAGAATGCAAGAAAGCACTGCACAAACTAACTGATCAGGTAGAAGTGGCAATTGCCTGGGTCCCCGGACACCAAGGAAATATTGGCAATGAGAGAGCGGACGAACTAGGAGCAGATGCAGGAGCAGGGAATAATCGAGCGCAGAATCATAGAAGAGACAAACCAAAGATGGAAATCATCGACTGGCATGAGACAGTCGAAAATGTTCAGGCATACAGATAAATAGAAGACCAAAAACCTATGGGCTACGGGGAAAAAAACCCCCCCCCCCCAAAAAAAAAAAAAAAAAAAAATTCCCCCAAAAAAAAAAAAATAAAAAAAGAGGAAAAAGGGGGGGTCCCCCCTTCTCGGGGGGGGAGAAAAAGGGGGGAAACAACAATCCATCTACTCACTGAATGCTCTGCATACTCGAGGCTAAGACAAATGCATATGGGCTCGGATGAAGTCACAGTAGAAGACATTAAAGAACTACAGATGGAAAAAATTATAAGATTCTGCAAGCAAACCGGAAGGTTTGAAGGGGACACGGGAAGAGTTGGATGACCCAAATTTCTGCAAGGAGGAAATGGGGAAATGGGTGAAATGGTCAGCGGACAACGTGGACTGATCACCCGTCCTGCCGAAGGTGTCCCCGATAGAAAATAATAATAAATAATAATCTCCCAATAGAAAGTCTTCCAATCTAAGAACTGCTTGTCTTATAATAGTTAATACCATGCACGAAGCCATCTGTGCTTTGAATCAAATCATTCTACTGGAATAAAATAAAAAAGCTAGATGCAATTAAACTTACATTATCTGGTATAGTTGCCAAATTACTAGTTGGCCTCTGACATGTAAATGTATTACGACCACCATTATAACTGATGTTTAGCGTCTGTCCAGGAGAAGGTGGTTTTAATCTGGAGGCTTCCAGGAAGATCCGTAATTCACGGTGATCTCCTTTACTTATCAGGGAGGCTATGCTATTCAGTAGTCTGAAAGATTATAATTGTCTTAGTTCAATATTTCAGTAACTACTAAACTTATAATTTGGAATAACAAGGAGACAAATACATGGGTATAATTGTTTCTTGCGGAATACTCACTTGTAGAATATATCATGCCAAGGCAAATGTGATAACAGGAGCAAAGTTGTATTTGATTTTGGGTCGTATCGGCAGAAGCCAAAAGTAAATTTCCTATCCGCCGATGTCAACACAAATGAATAATGTTGGACATATGAACTGAAAATATACAATAACATACATCATTAATGTAAAATAAATAAAAATGTCTATATAAGGAGATACTTGTCTATCTCTTTATACTACTGCATAAATCTAGCTGAAAATATGGAATTTTTTTCTTAGGATCAGATCTCTCATCATAAGGCATTTAACAAGTAAGATACAGATACTTTTTTAAAAAATATATAGTAAATATTTTAGAATAAATAAAAAACATACTTCTCTAATGGACACGGGAAGGCAAAATTGGGAATATTTTTTAGTTTCTCTTCATTATCATATGCTTCTGGATATTTCTTTACAATGTGACCTTCTGTTTGCTGATTACCCGGTGAGACCACACAAAACACCTCGTAAAGTGAGCCCCCGGCAGAATCGCTAAAACAAGTCATTATTAAAGATTATTCATGTAATTTACGTGATACATTAATTTAGTGCACAATAATTAAACACAGTTTAAAGAGAAGAAGCAAAGCCTTTCCAGTAAAGAGAAAACATTGACACATCTTGAACCGTTTTTGCAGCGCACCCAATAAAAACCCTCAATGATATTTTTTCTACATTTCGAACTGTTTAGAAAGGCTTTAGGTTAGAAGGAACTACGCTTTTATTGGTCGCGTAGTGCCTTCTAACCTAAAGCCTTTCTCTATTAATGCTCTAACCAACTAAAATAATTGTCCAAATCGGTACTTTTTCCTGATGCTATGACGTTTAAACAAACTCTTCAGCTTTACAATTTCAAATAGGATTAAAATCTAACCTTTTATAGGTTGAATGCAATACTTCATCCATCCATCCATACTACCAGAGCAAATTGGTTTAATAATAATAAAGAGAAATCCCGCTTCGCCCCATATGGCACAATGCAAACACATGTAGTTGATAAGACTTCCGGGTCCTGCCGAAACAATGTATTGTTTCCCTGGGATTCGAAACCAGGACCTAACGCCATGCTAGGTATTTACATACGGACTTTTTTAAAAGTTACTAGTTTAAATAAAACACTTTAACGGGTTAAAATGCGATATATCAGTTAAACTTATTTGGAAATGATTTTTAACTTCGGCCCGACGTTTCGGATGCTTTGCAGCAGCCGTGGTCACGGGGAGACTAGTCTCCCCGCGTTTTAAACCGTTAAAGTGTTTTATTTAAATGTGTACTTCTCGCGTAAACTATAGACAGTATTTAATTTACTAGTTATACTAGAGGGTGGTATATGGGGATATAAAGAACAAATTGTGCCATTTTAACCGCTTAATATAATTTTCACGAGGGGTTTTGAGTAGTTGAGGGGTTTAGGATAAACAATTTCGTAAATTGCTCATTCAGAAGTAATAATATAGTAATATACGTTTAAAGACGAAAAGTTGATCCATCCATCATGGCGGCTCCATGTGATTTGTATAAGATTTTAAATGGAATTTAAGGGGATTAAGAGTTGAAGTTCAATGATTACGCAAAGCAAAAGAAGGGATAAACGTACGATTGAAAGGGAAGAGACACTTACCGAATCCGGGAAGCCATTGCCACGTGGAGTAATGATCTTGAGAAAATGTAGAAATCGCTACTCCATCGCAATTAATTTGCGACGAAGTAGCAAATAAACGGCATCTTAGAGGCGACGAAATAAAGCTTAAAACAAGCGGTCCAGCACTATAGTCTTAAGCAGGCAACCGACGATCCGTTCTGTCTCGATCACGAAATGAAAGTGAGGAATGGCGATGATTTCAAGGTCAAGACAAGAACGATATTCAGACGGATGCTCTTCTATTCAGTGTTGCCATACTGAAATATGCAAATCGCTAGAGGTGTCGGACACTCTTACCGTTTAGAGATTTATAGGAGTATATTTTCACTATTAAATACAGACAAATATCAATGAATTCATACTGAGAATGGAATTTAATATAAAAATATTGTTTTCTTAATATGAGATAGACTTATTTATTACAGTTTAACCACAGCCTAAATGTGTCTTACTCTAATCTATACTAGATGCTGGAAGTGATCATTATGGCAACATTAATTAATGAGTAGTGGGATTGGTTATTGGCTATATATTGCCAAAAAGACTTGTACCTAAGCTATTTAATAATTATTTGAACTTTGTGAAACTATGGTGTCTTTATATTTTTAGATGATCTGTGATTAAGGGCTACCATTATTATACAACTATTCTTCATTATCATGTATTGTTAGTAGTGACAGTTACCAGGCCATTGAATATTATTAAAAAAAAAAAGTAGTGACAGTTGATAGTTGTCTTCAGTTGTCATCATCTCGGTAGATGACTTTGCGTTTTTAATAGTTACACCGTGAATTACATAGATAAAAAAGCCGATCTATACGACAAACTACATTTAAATAGATAAATCTACAATCTTTATTACTGCAGTTTGTGGATGCAAACCAATTACCCTACAACCTATAAACTTTAAGAGAATTATAAATTCACATTTTATCCTTCATCAGATGTATCATTCATTTTAAGCTTTTTTATATTTTATTACCTTTTTTACATACATCGTTTCATACACTTAATGACAACCGGTAAAGAAACCGTCTAGCGGTTTATATGTATCGGCTTCAGTACGGCTTTAAAATCTGTATAATACCTTCTATCCCTTATGAAGTCAGAACTCTGAACCTGGGTGTGTGGATTAATGCCCCATCTTGAAATAACACTCTAAAAATTACATAGTCATCCTGGATACTTTTCTATTTCTAAGTAGTAGCAGAAGTAGTTCTGTTAACTACTACTACTAACTATTGATAGAGAATATGAAGTAGAAAATTACTATAGACATGCTGCTTTCTATTTAAGTTATTTAATCAGAAGGAAATAAGATTAAAATTGGGTAGAAGTTGGACAATTGAGAAAGGATCAAAGATCCACGTCTAATCATCATACCTTTGAAAGGATAGATGAACACTTGAATCGTTGATTAAATTATGAGGGATTATTTCTTTACAAAATACATAATATTAAATGGAAATAATTTTGTGGTTGTGTATTAATGTGTAGCATCACATCCACTTTACAAATCTTGAGCAATTAGTTACATATAAAAGATATTCAATTTATGAGAGTTAGTAACATGCATCTGGTATTGTATTAAATTATATAGGAGGTGAAGTGTGTGTTGAAGAGGCATGTTGAAAGAGTGATTCAGTGTAAGTATTAGTAGTTTTCATACTCTTGATTTAAATGTTATAAAAGATGGATGTCTTTTATTAGGACCGTTAACTTCTTTTCTAGACATGCAACATCCTAGGGTTATATATAAAAATCAAATATAGTGAAAGTCTAACTGTGTCTAACTACTGTACATGAAGTCAGCGTTTTACAGCAATACTTAGGCTGTGCAGATATAGATAGAGTTTATTGCATATTACAGTGTTAACTTTATTATTATATTCTTTACCGTGTTTACTAGGAAGGTAAAGTGTATTAAATTAAATTTGATGTAGATAGCCATTTTAAGCAAACCAAGTTTGGATCTTAACATTTGTATTACCAGACAAAACATGAAATGGCATATTATTTTCTCTCGGGGACACCTGTGGTAGGACGGGTGATCAGTCCACACTATCAGCTGACCATTTCACCCATTTCCCCATAAGGCATAAGGATGAAATGGCATAAGGGATTAGTTAAAATAGATATAGAAGCACTAGATAGTAGTACCACAGAGCCAACAAACTGACGGGACAAGTGTTTAAAGTACAATGAGACAAACTTAATAAAGATTTCTTTTTATTTGCCGTTTACTATTTATTCTAACCTAATTTATTTCTAATAACTGGTTGTTAGCCATCTATAATAAATATACACATGAAACAAAAACACCTACACCAGGCATCATTCACAATTAAATCATAATATAATTGTAATGTAACAATTTCATTTTATTAGTTTATTCATACCGTTATACTGTGAAATATGATGGTATGAGCAAACTTATATCATGCAAGACAAAAACACGAAATGTCTTATTCTTACTAAAAACTGTTAGTAAAACAATTTGTATTATCTTAAGTTCATTATAACATCATTAATGTTGTTTGCCACATGTTGTTATTGAGTTGGTATTATATTATAGGAAGAATATCTTATGAGATATAGGACTTTAAACATAAGACAATGATAGGTATATAATTACAGTAGCCTAGTAGATTAAACTTAGTTCTGTTCTCAGAAAAAGGAACTTTTAACTGAGCTATAGCTCATATATAGATTTCTATTCATGAAATTAATTGTTTTCTTGTGAAATTTTTGGTATTACAGAATATATTTCAGAACTGTATTATTCACACATTTATTGCTTCGTTGAAATTCCTTTAATATCTGTTGAGGATGTATTAGGTTAAATTGAACCACACCTAATCTGTACCTAAAGATATTCATTTAGGTTAGTTTTAATTTATACTTTTAAGCTTTTTTTTGCTAGATGCTCAATCTTACTGGCACTCCATATGCACACAGTAGCCTGTACTCTTAAGCCTAGTTCACAATTTTATTAATCCATTTTAATATTTGCATAATAATACATTGATATCATCAAAATTATTAATTACAGTTTATCAAATTGAATTAAAAGTAGATAGATAATTTAACCAAACCTAGTTTTGCAATGAACAGTAAAATGATCTGACAAAAAATAGGTTGCCTAATGGATTTTGGAGGCTATTGTTAAACAGACAAGGATATGAGGTCAGGATAGGGAGTCCAATTGAATATGTAGAATAGCATCTTCAATTCATGATAATTCTTGATAGGACACTGTATGACTAAAGTACAATGAGACAAATTAAAGAGATTTTATTTTATTTGAAAACAATAGGAAGCAAGATTATTTTTTAAATTTAAACTATCTTTTAACCAAGTGCCTATTTTGATAGATATTATTTGAAATAAGAAATCCTCACAGAAAGTATAATTAAGGCCATTAGAGGCATAATAGCCATACTGCAATTTTGACTCGAGTCTTTAGTATTTTCATAGTTTAAAAATGTCAATATAAGAGCACAGTGACCGAAAATTGTCAACATAATAATACAATTTCATTTTCGCCTATGTTAAATGGGTATTTGTATATTCCTCCTTAGTGAAAATCACTCTGCCTCCAGTAACTTCAATACATAACTCAAATAATTTGTAATTAGACCATTTTCAATTTTTATTCTGCTTATACCATATCACATTGTGCAATTGGTTTGACCATATTTATAGTATGCAAAACAAAATCTCAAGTAAACTACTTGTTTGATACTAAGACATGTTAATAAAACACTTTATATGTTAGGTTAGGTATTTAATATAACTTTTATAATCTCTCATTACAATGTGTACATTGTGTACAACATGGTGAAAAATATAATATACTAATGTTGTGTGATACCAAATGTTCTGAGAGAACTGCTACACTTACCCATTTCTTTACTAGCTTACTTAATTGTTCTTAGAAAGAAAGACCTTCTAATAAAGCTACAAACAGACTAGTATTTGTAAAATTTATTGGAGGTTTCATCCACTTTTAGGTTACAAAGAATTTAAGTCAGAATTGTATTGATGCTTGGGTTTCCTTTAATACCTGCTAAACTTAAGGAGGGCTTAGGGATGAAGTCAAATTGAAATAAGACCTAAATTATATTGGTAACGGTATCCATATAGGTTAGTGATAGTTAAGAAACATCTTATGAGTCCAATGAGAGATTGTTGCTTGGATGTTAGTATATGGACATCCTTTTCATTTCAAATATTGTATTAAAAATATATATGGATTTTCTCTTTTTTAAACTGATGGTGTTAATGCCCAATGGACGCCTACGCCGGGCAATAGTGATGTGGGGAGTGTGATAAATAGTAATACAATCCCACTGTGACACCACCAGTAGCCCGCTATGGTGTTTTTGAGGAAGCCCTAATATGGGTTCTCCCTAGATTTAAGATTTTACCATGATACAAGAATATACAATTATTTAAGTATTTATTAATAGAACTAGGATGAGATAACTCTTATTCTGCTTATATGAAGCTTTAGGCTCTAATGCTTATACCAATCCTGTCCAATGTAAAGTGAAACGTTTTACAAATTAGGTCTGGTACAAATAAAACAAAAGGCATAGTTTAATGCATTTATTACCACCGGTTCGCAATAGAGCATCTGCTGAGAAGAACCGGCAAGAAACTCAGCAGCTAATCTTTTAAACAGTGAAATTTTACAAACAGTATGATGAAATGGATATGAAATTTACAATAACAAAAGTAAATAGCTATAATGTTCTCTATATTTTAGTTTACAAAATTAACTTTGCATTGAAAGCAATAAATATTGATACACAAATAATCGATTTCTAACAATAGTCTAGTTCAGTATAGAAAACATTACAACTAATGGGACGGACTACAAAAAGTTATATTACAAAAGTTTTCTTCGCTCTTGGCATACCCAAAGTACATTACGAATTGAATGATTGATTGGCAGCGTTGGTGAATCTGAAAAAAAAAAAAAAACTATAACTTATTGTACTATCAATAGGTTCAAATGTGGCCACTTCAAATCCGACAATGCTTTGAAATTATCTCCTAATGTAATTTGTAATAACCTATTTTTAATTGTCATTGTTTAAATATGTGTGTCTCCAATTAATGTAACTGGCTATTGCCGTTTTAATTGCTGTAAATAAATAAATGCTTTACGGTCCATACCAGAAATAAATATTTACTATGAATTTCCATCATCTTAAGAGCTTTTTGGAATATTAGGACCTATTATCTATATCGTATTATTCATAAGCAAATGGCTTTAAAACAACTTGATAGAGTAAATATAGACTTTAAAAGTGTGAAATTCATTTGGCAGCTATTGTTGACACACAGCTACTGTTGTGTACAGTTGAGTTTATCCAAAAATGATTTTATTTCATGCTTTGAAGCTGGACTTTATTGGGCACTAAACTTTTTTGCCGCATCATGACGAAAAAAGTTAATTTTGCAAGAATAATTTCAAGATGTCCACATATTTTTACCCGTCGGGGCTTGCAGCTAATAAACGAAACTTGCACGAAACGCTGTAGATGCCGGTTTAAGTTTCAAAGTATATTTTTCTCAATCATTAATAAATTTTTAATTTATTAATATGCATTTCATTGTTATAGGTAAGGTTTAATGTCTCTTAATCTTGATTAACAACTATAAATTGAATATTGTCTATAGTTTATGCGAGTAGTACACATTTAAATAAAACAGTCCCCCCCGTGACCACGGCTGCTGCAAAGCATCCGAAACGTCGGGCCGAAGTTAAAAATCATTTCCAAATAAGTTTAACTAATATAACGCGTTTTAAACCGTTAGTGTTTTATTTAAACTATAAATTGACTTACTGGTTAAATAAGTATATGTCGCAATTGATCATTAAAAGTGATGTTTTAGAATTAGTTTGTTCAGGCTTTTTCTTGTCTTCAATGCGGTCTGCTTTAGTTACTAAGTCAGAATTCTGTGCCTTGCAAGTTTATCGTATTCGCTGACACACCTGTGGACACATACCAACAGCGATTAGGTTTATTTTTCTAAGATATAGTATTATTTCATATGCTTCTTAAATCACGGACAATTTTATACCTGATTTTCTTAGAGGGAGCATACAGCAGTCTTCAGACTCGTCGTCGCAGTATCAGTATGCTATGCGATTTGACATTTACAACTTGTAGCGTATGCGCGTCGTCTATTCATCATTATAGTAGCTGTCAAGAAAAACAAAAGTTCAATTTCATAAAAAGTATTGAAGCACGTATATTTTATTTTTAGCTTCGAATGGTAAATGATAACAAACAAGCATGCGGTCACTTGATGGAAGGTGAAAATACACCGGCCATACTAAATCTTAACAAAATAGTTTGCTGACCTACTTTGGAAGTCCAGCGTGTTTCAGAAAAAAAAACAGGTTCATTAGAAACATGTTGGGTCCGATGGGGTTCGAATCCATGATTTGTTGATTACTAGTGGCACATTGCTACCATTACACCATCAAGCTAGTCAATTACTTTATATTTAAGCCTGGGTTATTATCGAGAGAGAACAATGACACTTAAATACTTACACACGTAATTTTCAAACAAGTCGTGGTACCTAACGCGAAGGCAGCTCCACGGAAGCGAAGAGAGGGTAGTCACCGATGTCCCGTCCCACGTCGATCGTACTATAAATGGTCACAAAATTATTCTACGATGTTTACGACACCAGTATTATTTACTAAGCGCTCCGAAATTCGCTAATAACGCACAGGAATTTAGATAATACAATGAAGGTTGCCATAGCACAAGTGGATCTCATAGATAAATTTCAGATAGAAGAGCATTTTAAAACAAATTCTTCTTTAACTTGACTGTTAAACGCACGAAGCTTTTCCACAATTAAGAATCTCATCGTCAGTTCGTCAGTTATTGAAAGTTCCCTCTTAGTGGGCAAGCGTGATAGGAAATGTAAAATTTGCAGTTTCTCTTCAATTCCTCAATCATTTTTGCTTGTTAAATAAAAGGTAAGGCATGAGGATAAATAAAATCAACAAATTTATGTTGTACAAATACATGTTAATAATTGAACAGAAAACAGACGTAATACGAGCACAGCACCTCGATTCACGTATTTAAAAATAATTTTGTTTATCTGATGCAAACGAATTATTGTTGAGCACGTTACGAATAACTTGAATTGATATTTAAATTCACCGCAGAGATTCAGAAAGACAGAGCTTCTTAAAGTATATGTTCTGAATCAACGTCGCTGTGCTCACTTAGAAGAAGCATAAAACCATTATTATTCTGGCTGTATTTAAAAATAGAATAAAAACGATGTTACTGCGAGAAAATAATTTTCTCGGGTTGGTCGCTCTGTGGGCGAAATTCTTTCATAAAAGAAAATGCCGCTTATAACGCTTGAAAATTACGTAAATCGAGGTACAGAACAAATGAAAGTCGATAAAATTATAATAATATATCAAGAAGTGTACTCACAATTTGTTCGATGCTTTGCCGCAGCAGTTGTACATATTAAATCATTCGCTTTCGCACCAGCAGACATACCCCAACACATCGCCACACAAAATACATACATAAACAAGCCTCTACAGACATACATCTCATACAGAAGCACCAAACGTAATTTCTCCTGTACCACAATACACGGTCAAATACACACACTTTACCCTCACAGTGGCACGGTCATACCCATACGGACATAACCCAATCATACACGTTACAACAGTCACCTTACAGCCGCACAAACATACCAAAATGGGCCCAACACACTTCCACTACGCTCCACATTCACATTGCACTCAAATGCATTCGCAACGCTGGTAAATACTTTCGCAACGCTGGAGAATACATTCGCAATGCTGGTAAATACATTCGCAACGCTGGTAAATACAGTCGCAACGTCAAGCACATTACAGTTGCAAGAAAATACGCGAGCAATGATAATACGAATCTGAATAAAAAAAATAAAGTTGCTGCTATTGGTGATTTTTAATTTATGAATTACGCAAGTAGCGACGTCCGGTTAGGGTACAAGTAGGAAAAAGTCACTCTTAAATAAAAACAAAAACACGCTGTAATTCTAAAATCAGACCTGATTTAAAGACCAACACGCAGAAGCAGCATTTTCTGAAACGACATTAAAATACAGATCTCCGAACAGAACAACTTCACAGTAACTAACTTGCTGAAACAATGATCGCCACGGCCGCCTCATCAACGAAGTTCTAGTGTCCTTTATAACGCACTGTACTTTCCATAGATACCAATATATGGAAGAAGACTCATAGAAGTAAGTGTGAGATAGGGTACCCCTCATGACTATACGGATTTTAAATTTTTACACAAAACAGCAACTTTAAATTTTAGTTCTTACATTACTTCTGTCCAAATAGGCTAAATGTGAAAAATATGTGTAGATATGTGTGATACAAACATACGAAGAAATCTCTAAGAATCCTTATTAAGTATTTAACTCACAATATTATAGCCCGAAAACACAAAATTTTATAGCAGTAGTAAACAGTTTTTCCCTTATTCAAATTATTCTCTTACATCCTTTCTTGAATCCCATTAAAACATTATAAGGTCTATTTAGAGTGAACCAAGTTCTCAATTAAATCTTCAAGGATCATGTTTTCTGTCTAGCAATCTGATTAATAGGACTTTTAATAAGTCGCGCTTTAATTATATTCTGTGAATTTTCATTTATCACTTGATAACACTATATACCACATACTATACATATATTTTTCACAAATTCTATCTGTGGTCATTTTAAGAATATTTTATTTCGCCAGCACAAAGCATGACCATAGCCAGGAAATTAGTTGTATGGTAATCTAGAATAGTAATGAAACATATTGTGTTTTATTCATGAACTTGTTACAAAAGCTATAGAAAATCTAAACTAAAAATCCTGGATACAGCCTAAAACAGGTTAATATTGATTTGTTTAATCTATATATCTGAATCTAGTACTTATATACTTTTTAGGATTACAATGAAAGGTTCCTTATATGACTGAGAGTGTCAACTTCTAGAACTAGGATCTTTCATTGCATCTCTTTTTACTCAGCGCACAGCTCTTAAATATGTAGAACTAAAATTGCCAAAAACATTTGAAAAGACAGTCTACACATGTTACAAAACAATCTGTTACATTGAATCTATGATAAAAGACCAAGAGAACTGGAGATTTTATATTGAGTGTTGTGGAAAATGAAATGATTAGTGTGTATTTATTATTTCATACACAATTCGGTTGACATTAACACAAGAACTACCAGTGTCACGATTAATTTGACCAGCTGGTTTAGAATGAACACAAAAAAGCAGAAATAATAATATAAAGATAACCTTTAATTTGACCAACTTGACTTTTTTTCTAATTTGACCGGCTCTATAGTCAAATAGATAAACATGTTGCCTAGCCCAATTTCAACTTAATTAGAAGAAACTCTAAACATTTACATTACAAAACAATTACAACATGTTTTTTATGCAAAAAATGTATGACAGAAAATTGAAACAAGTCATTTTCCCTAGTACATTAATTCTAGTCTCAATTTGAAAATTAAAATTGATTAATTGTGATCAGTATAGGTGCAAAATATGAAATAGTAACATGTGTACACTCTTCATGTTGTATCTTTAAAACAATCTTCCATTAATGTACAGTTGAAAATTTAATTATGGTTATTTTGAAATACTTAGATCTTTTGCTTTCAACCGATCAATCTGTTGAAAGATTCACATATACCAGTTACTTTGTAATGTGTAAAAATTATAATATATTGCAGATTTAACATGTTGCCTTTTTAAGACATTAATGGAAGATGTGTGGAACTAACCGTGATATCACGTTGGGAAGAGCCAGGCAGTCTCTTGTTGTAGATTCTGATGTGAGATCGACTTGGGACTGGTAATCTAAAATTATTTAAGCATAGTATGCAGCTTTTTCATTAACTAAGTATCAATAATCAAATGCAGTGAAATGAGTGCTGTTTAATCTGACCATGAATAAGAACTTACCGCTTCAGGAATTGCATGGTTATACATGATTGAGGATTGTTGTAACATCACCAGCATGCAGATGTTGACGATATCTTGTAACTGTGAAGGGAGAATTACTTAAAAGTCTTCTGTATCTACATATCAGCTAAGCTTTCAAGAAGCTTATAAGAAACTTAATCCAGAAGTAAAAGTGTTGTAAAGTACTAAAATGAGTAGACCTGAGGCTGGTATATATAATCATATCAAATAGGCGTTGTTTAAAACTAATATTAATTCAATGAATTAAATCGGTCTAAGTAGAAACTTGATGGACTAAGATGAACTTGGTAACTATACCAAACAAAATGGCCGACAACCAATAGTAGGCTAACTTTGAAGCATGCGTGACGCCGCGTCCCTGAATGGCGGAATTTATGAAGTGCGGTTTGACAAAGTTAAGACGTCACCTCAAGTGTTCTGAAGTCGAGCGATGAGACACTATGTTTAAATTACTTAGGCACCCAACAGACATACTTATTCGACGACGACGATTCATGTTTAGCCCAAATAATTAATATTACAATATTTAATGTGAAAAAAAGTTATTGTCGCCGTCAACAAAAATTCGTATTAGAAAATCAATCCAAAATATATAAACAAGTCCTGAAAAAACTTACCGTCGCAGAAAGCACGTACGTTTAAATTACATTTTGCTCCAGGACTGACAGCAGACAGCGCCGCCTATTAAAATTCAGTAACCCATATAATATCAACATTCTAGTAAATTAGAGTCCTGTATTCGTCTGCGACCAATCACAGGAGGCGAATTTAATCAAGTACCTAGCTTGTTGAATTTGTTGACAGAACAAGTTATTTACCACGAAAAATATTAAATCTGTCTACTTATTCTAAATTTAAGTATTAAATGTAGTTTGATTTTTTAATAACCAGGGTTGATCCCTGACTGTTCATATTCTAGATGGCAAAAGGAAATCCTTGCAAAATAAGGTTAAATGCCTGAGAACTATTTTGACTAAATCAATTGACTTTCTAATAGAAAACAAGTCAATTGAACATCCCAATGTGACATACCAATAAAATTCCTATAGGCCAATATTAAATATGAAAATAATTAGGTATATTATAATAGTACTCACATTTTTATTTCGTCTGCAAGCAAAGTCGTAATGCTAAGGTTAAGAAGTCTTAAAGAACACACTAAACACACGTGTAAACAGCACCAATGACACTTAATTTAAAAGGGCAGTGCTGCCAACTGTACCAAAAATCTTGTACGAACTTGTACGGAAAGTTGGTAGATTGAGAATTTTTATCCCTTAAATGAATTAAAATGTTCCTTTTAACTGCTCGAACGTGATTACTGAAGACCACATCTTGATCTTCTGATAAAGCCGGATAATTATTGCCTTTAATAATATAGTAGACATTAAATACTATTGCTAGTAAATAAGCTAGTTGCGTTTAAGTAACAACACTAATAAGAGAATATACTGTTATTTAATTTCTTTATTGTACATTACATTTAGTATTGGATCATTGGTGGGACGATTTTTAAATGTTGAAATACATTGGAAATATACAGATAGATTTTATTCAGCCATTTTTAGGCAGTTTTGGTGGTGTTTCAGAGTGAACGTGTCATTAGTATGCACAGTGGCGTAGCTATCGTAGGGTCAGGTGGTGCAGTTCACCAGGGCGAAAAAATTTGGGGCCCTTTAACCTTTTCTTTGAGAAGATATAAGTGTAGAAGAAAAGGTTTTCTAACGTTCTTGTTGCTATTTATAATTTTGGAGGTTCATTTAAGTCAAGCTATGCTAAGAGGGGATGAGGACTCGATTCTTTCTTGAACCGTAGGATTAGGTAGACCGGGCCCCTTGTCCACCTAGCTACGCTACTGAGTATACATATTATATTTGGTTACATTTTGGCGCGCTTATATAGATATCGCCAAAATTATTTAAAAACTATCTTCTCCGTCATCGTTATACGTTACTTGAATATTTCGCTAGATTCTGAAATAAATCGTAAGGTAGCTAAGTTGGTAACACTAGCTGCAAGTTAGTGGCTAGTCGAAAAACGAATCAAACGCGCCAAATTATAAAGGCGGGAAATTAAAATATCTAGAAATGCAAAAAGTTGATATTTTTACAATTTACTACTAATTTACTTATATATGAAAGTGGTTATAATGGCACAGGGATAGTGAGGAAAGGAACGCTTACCTTTCACTGTCTTGCTTGCTCTTCTCAGATGCATTTTCCGCTAAGAACAATATTTTAAACGCAATTCCACACTTAGTATAAGTTTAAACATTGAGTTTGGTTTTTGTAACACCCTTTTTCTATTCAAATATGAATCAAAACCCAAACAAAATTTGGTTCGATTCACACGAACTGCCCAGGTTTATAATTGAATATGTGTATTCAGTGAATTTGGATTATAATGATCAACACCTTACGAATAGCATTTATTGATAGTAAGATGTCATTAAGGCAAACACATTTATGAGAGACATTTATTAACGAACCTTTTACACTCTCTACTAAAATCAAGCACCTCTGATGATATTTTATCATGTATCCGGAGAAACTAATAAAATTTTAAATTATTGTATACTAGCAAAATTTCGCTCCTCGTGAATGCTCCTTACATTTACAATAACAAGTTAACCTATTTACCTTAGTACGTATCAAGTAAAAACCGTTTAAAACTATTTTTTACAGGCGTAGAATATTAACAACCGACGATCTTATTACAAAACGAAAGAGCTTGGCCTGCAAGACCTAAAGTGGGAGTAAGTCGTATGAGGTACGATACGAATATAATGTGATGCCGTACTTTAATGTTGGTCAGACAAGCCTCGACTCTCGGTGCATAATTGCTAAATCATCCCACGAGAACCCACATTCGTTGACACGCAATGACGGCAGGCATTAAGTCACCGGTATTCGCAGCTCCTCGTACCGTATATTTCGTGGGATGGCCTAATAACGGAAGATTAGCATGTCCTAAAACAATTTGACTAGGAATTTTTAACAGTACAAATGTTACACCTAAAATGATCGTAGATTATAGAAAAAGGAACTACATAATATTGATGTTATTGCTATGGTTGTCATTGTAACGTGGGCCGCTCTTAAAGTTATTTATACATACTAACTCGTACAAAAAGTTCATTTCACGCGTACAAAATACTTGTATAGGGCCTATTATTTCGCAGGTACATTTTCGTCGAATAAGGCAGCTCGACGGGGTTTATAATAACAATTATTATTGCATTTTAGTATTTTAAGCGATTTTTGCTATGTCTTATTACTACATGATCGGAGAAAAATATATTACTTACTAATGAGATTTATAAGTAAATATTTTTTCCGGAATTCGTACCTCGGGCCACTCTCACTGCTCACGAGACGATTAAAGAATTAAGGTACTGTCATTTTTTGTATGTACAATACAATATAGACCGAAACGATATTTTGATACGCTTTATTTGAGATCAAAATCTAGTGACGCGTTAAACATATGAAAACCAATGCAACCTTAACTCTCATTGACTTTAGTCGAGCAACAACATGTAAAAACTAAATAATAATTTAAAATCGCATTGTCAATATTTATACATAACTACCTTGTCGTTCGCCTAGCGCCTAAAATATTATCTGTGCTTTAGTCATTAGTAAAAACAATAATCTTATCACTAGACTCTTTCTTACAATATTGACTGTCCACAATGTGCTTCAGAATATTAATTTTAAAAAGACAATTTATACTGCGAAAAAATGTAAATACATATGTACTAAACAATCGACCAAGATGTTACAATATTCCACTAATTATTATTGTTAATACAAATATGAAATATACATAAAATGGAATTGTTCTTAAGAATAACTTAAACTTAATTAAAAAATATTTATCTTACAGTAAAATGAGTAGATGAGGATAACATTGGAATAGCAGTAACATTACAGGTTTTATGTTGAAACTCAAATCCCGTTGGTTAAAGTATTTTAACATCTCGATGCTCAGTTATTCACTGCATTAAGGCAAGGCACTTGGTAAGGTAATAAGCTCCAAAAGTTTCCGGCCACTTCATATATGACGCCGCTAGAGACAGAGTAACCTAACTGCAATTTTATGACTTGACTTGTTTATATATTTAAACTAAAACTGTTACAGGAGCACAGTGACCAAAAATTGTTAACATATATTTTTACACAAAGAATACAAATTCATTTTCGTCTAAGTTAATTGTGTATTTTAATTTTCTTTTTGTTTATGTTTTTTTTTGTTACTGGGCCACTATGCCCCTAACAGCCTCGTAGAATATAGACAGAAGTATAAGAATATTTATTTTATATAATTTGACTTGTCTACCACCAGTACAGGGGCGTTTTTAGTTTAGTACTTTAATTGATTGTAAATATTTTGTGTTATATGTCGGTTTAAATGTGATATATACACAATTAATTTGATAATATATATATAGTCTTCATACCAAATGACTAAAGGGTAACAACTATATGAATAAACAGAAAATACCAAAAAAAAATTATATTACATTCAAATACTATTTGTATGTTTAAAAAACAATAGAAATTGATTAGGGAAAACACTAGCGGTAGTGAAGAGTTACATGTTGTATTTTTCCTATCCGCTATGAAAATGTTTAAGCTTTTCCTTAGGGAAGAAAATGTATATTAACTAATCGACATAGCTTCTACTAACCACTATTTATAGATCTATATATAATAATTCATCCATTGTGATAGGGGTCTTAAAAGCAAAATTAAAACAATTGATATCGTACATAATATTATGTTTGTCACCGGAAACTTGTGGCCGTATGACCTTTGGTAGAATTGAAAAGAATATAACCAATATCTCTTTGATTCAAGTCGATTTATTGTACAGTCCTTGCACTATTCCAATATCTTAACGTGAAGGTAAGCTTTGCGAATACATTTATAGTAAAATTGTAATAACTCAATGTGACTGTACAGTTAAAAAGAATTCATAAACTGCTCCATTCACGGTCGTTTCGAAATTGTGAAACATGCAGACACTGATAAAGTTGATGATCAAACGGTAAAATTGTCTATTTAAATAAAACACTTTAACGGTTTAAAACACGATATATTAGTTAAACTTATTTGAAAATGATTTTTAACTTCGGCCCGACGTTTGGGATTCTTTGCAGCAGCCGTGGTCACGGGGAGTTAAAAATCATTTTCAAATAAGTTTAACTAATATATCGCGTTTTAAACCGTTAAAGTGTTTTATTTAAATGTGTACTACTCGCGTAAACTATAGACGGTATTTAAAATTGTCTATTACAATATGCTATCAAAAATATAACCTATGTATATTTAGAATTTTCAAATCGATTTCGTACCTACATATTAACATGCGGCGTTGGTAAGGCACGCCGTATGCGCACGTCCACGGGATAATCTGATTCTATGTCACAATTGTCTCAATAAATTTAGATTTTATAAGTTCTTATCATAACCTTATAACTATAATATTTATTAAATAATGCGGTCCACACTTACACTTTGCACTATGTCGTATGACCCGTTCGGCCATCAAATCTGAAATTTAAATGTTGATAGTTTACTTATTTGGTTGAAGAGATTCAATAATTATATCTGTAAGCTATATATATATCCTCTCGTGTCAAATAGAGGATATGATGTATATATATGTCTTTAGTTTACGCGAGTGCACATTTAAATAAAACACTTTTAACGGTTTAAAAATGTATTGTTATACTGTAATATCGGATGCTTTGCAGGAACTGTGATCGCGGCAGGACTTAATCGGAAATAAATTTATTTAAATAATATAGGGTTTTGACGATGTCCTATTTTTTCTTACAAGGGGTTGGAAGGGAGTCTGGACAGTTCTGACATAAGATAAATATATTATTGGTTGGCCTTTTGGGCCCATGGATTTAAAATCTTAAAAATTAATAATTTTTAATATTTAATCAGAAATAAACAAAAGAAAAAACCTTTCTAAAAATCCACAGACAGAAATCGAAACGTGATTAAACTTCACGGCTTTTTCATTTCCGGGCGGTGGTTCGTGACCCGGACGGATATTCGATATTCCTCCCAACCATTTAAAAGTTTCAGAACAATTATAAAGTCGTTCTTTGTAAATTAGTAAAGAAAGCTTAGATTTGTTAAGAACTCACCCTTACGTTATTGGTACGGATTGTAATATGGTGTCGATGGATACGATTGTGTATTAGGGTTATTTGGTGGAGGGGGGGGAACGCTCGACGTCTGTTTTGCTGCTGTTGTCTGCGGCGATCCCTGTACTCCGTTATGCTGATTGTACATTGATGTACCTAAAACATAATAGTCGTGTTTACGTGGCTTCTCAGTGTGTATGGCCGATGGTATTAAGCATAAATGAAAGCATGAGTGTATAAGGATACAAAACTCGCACAGCATTCGCAATATTAGTAAAGATGAAAATATAAAATAAATTATTAAATAAATGCTACTTTTCGACAAAGTGAAAACAAAAACACGAGGAAAAAGAAAAAAAAAACACACTGCAGTGTAACGAGTAATTTTATTGAGAGTTAAGTGCCCCTTTTGTATTGCAGAACAGCTATAGAATAAATTTTAAAAATAATTAAATTGCTAATACACCAGAAATGGGCTACGTGACCAATCAGATAACTTCCAAATATTCGCACTAAGTTAAAAAGCAGTGTAAACTGCAGTCGATGTTCGTGATGTCCTGATAGTTCTTTTTACAATTCAATTGTTAAAAAAAACAGCTAAGTATATTGCAAATAAATAGCATTATTGGAAGGGAGATAATTTTACAATTAAGCCGGGCTTAGACGCAGGATATATATATAGCCTGGGAAAATAAATGCGAACCATTTTGTCACGGCGAAGGAGGGGTTGAAATCACCTGGATTAGTTTCCTAGGCTTTCCCGCACTTAGCCTCTTGATTGGGCCATTGTGCGTATTTCACCCAGATTCTATCAGTAGCAAGATACTTGATAGATAATAGTAAGAACCACTCTGTCTGAACTTTTCGTGCGCAAGCACGAGGAAATTTATTTATTTACTTGAAATAAATATAGAAGCGTTGTATATCGCTTGTAGCCCCAAACACCAACGTTAGATGCAAAGGCTCAGCAGAATATTTTAATTTTAATAAATGGGGAACGTAACATTTTTCTTAACTAATTCCAGGTTGATTGCTCATGCCCTTTATCAACCAGAATTTTGACCACACAAGAGGGGGCACAATAAACGTTTAACAAAAATACTTATTGACTTTGAATTATTTTATGGAAAGATAGATTTGACTACATTTACTATACTCCATTCCAACTGAATTTAAAGAAAATGAAAACTAACATTGATCACTCAAATTCCCACCAAAAGCCCAGTCTCAAAAAGTTATGTCCCATATGCATTATTCACTTTCTGTCAGTATTCAACTATATATTTCTTACATGAATACACATTTTTCAGTTGTTTTACACCTTACAAGACTTAATCTTAAAAGTATAGTCTACTTCAAATTCTCTGTGAGTCTTTTACACGGTTTCACGGCGTTGTCGTATATAATCAAATCATATTTACCTTCTCTGATAAAAAAAACAGGGTATGACGTTGGTTATTAACATGACTATACAAAACTCTATTAAAAAGTGGACGCAAGTTACCTCATTTACCTTTTCTAAAAATTCAGTTCAAACAGAGTATACAGCGCTCAGCAGAATTCCGTTTTGTTTTTAAAAATTTGCGAATGACATGATGTAGTTAAGAACATCAAATGAAATTGTTATGGATTTACAAGAATTGATAATCAATTATGAGAATGGAAAAGACGAGAGAAGTAGAACGCTCAAAGCATTCGCTCGCATGAAAAACTTCGCTCGAAAAAAAAGTTTGCTAGGTATCTTTTAGCAAGCATATTAAGTAGTGTAGAATAAAGATTGGAAATATAAGGGTAATACATTTAAATTAAACACTTTAACGGTTTAAAACGCGATATATTAGTTAAACTTATTTAAAAATGATTTTTAACCGGCCCGACGTTTCGGATGCTTTGCAAACCGTGTAGGGGAGTTAAAAATCATTTTCAAATAAGTTTAACTAATATATCGCGTTTTAAACCGTTAAAGAGTTTTATTTAAATGTGTACTACTCGCGTAACTACTTAGGGTATACAATATATCATTCTAAATCGGAGTTGATTTTTTTCTTAGAATCGAATGTTCGGCTAAAATCCATCTCCATGGATTTTTTGAATTCACCTTCGGTAACTGAGTAAATAGCAGAGTAAAGCAGTATATTGTAATAATGCACGCAACAGCCACTACATAGTCAAGAGATTCATCTACATCAAACACCATTATAATCACAAACACTAGGACTTCAAAAATACTATATGCTCTATTAGTTTTAGTATCATGAATGTTGTACTTTCGGGTAGTTCTACTAACATATATATAATTTCAAGTTGAAATGCAGCGCTTTGCAAATACAATCGGGGTAAAAATACATATATAATAATAAACTGCTTAAAATGTTGGGACATCAAGATTAAAGGAGGCTTAACTTTGTCAAAATATAAGTATCTATCACACAAGAACACTAGTAGCGTATAATTACTAATAGATATATGTGTATGGTATGAGAATATAAGCTAAAACTCTTGAATTGTTTGAGAGCGATATAAGTCCACATATTGTTCTCTCAGACAACTCAATCGATGGGCTTAAGATATGCAGCCACATACCAACATACCTATACTTCCTATATTACTTCTCGCATCGCCACGCAAGCGGTGAACCTCCTTGAACCCATTCGCTTGGAGATCATATCTCAACATAGAGGCTCTAGAGCCACTACAATTATTTTTTCCATTAACCTTGCAGAATAAATACAAACATTAAAAATAATCGCCAGCCTAAATGTTAAATAAATAAAAAATCGCAAGCACTTCATTTGGTTTTTAATATGGAATTGAGAATTGCCGCAAGGGCAAAGTAGGGTGCTCGCAGACTGTAGTATAATTCAGTGTCACTTATGTCGTGGCACGATCGTCCGCTGGAAATTGTGATAGAAAAGTTTTGACACTTCCAATACTCTAGCGATTCGGGTGTTAATCGTGGACCCTTGTAAAAGATAGTGCGTCGCTTCTAATATAAAATCAAATAACAGCAACTTACTTGCAACGGGTAAAACGGACGCCATTGGTGCTTGCGGCATATACGATCTCGCCATTGTTGGAGGCATACTATAGATAGGATAATGCTGCGCTACAGACGTAACAGTACCAGACTTCGAGCTAGACGTTACGTGCGTTTTACTTGTCGTTGCAACTGAGGCGTTAACACTAATATTAAACGGTGCCGGTATGTCCGCATTAGTTGAAGTACGTCCATATGTGTAGTCGTTCATACCATTACTTGAGACATTGTTATTCTCGTTTGATTTATCGGCATTCGGCGGTTTTGTACCTGAAACATATTTAACACTAATAAACATTTTTGATCGACCACCATGAATGGGCCAATATAAGGTCGTGACGACTAGCCGTAATGCATGTTTAGGAACGCAATTTAAATATTGGATTTTTAATTATCAAAATTCAAAAACATTTCTTTAGGTTCTTACCGTCTACAATATGATATTAGGTACAATCTAAAATTCACTAAAAGAGCCGATTAGAGGCAAGTTAGACATTTTCTTTTTTTGTTAAACTAAATACAAAATTAAAGCAGATCTTACCGGCACCTAAAAGTTTCATAAATGACAAAATTGTATCCGTATTTAAACTTTTGCCTGCATCCGGTTTTGTTGATAATAAACTGCGTATTCTTTCATCGTTTCTTGATGGAGCGGGCTGCATCAAATTAAGAAGAAAATTAGACTTATTTAAAAATAAATGACTCAAAAATCTTCTAAAAAAGGACTTACTCTTCCGTTGTTCATAAAAAGATTGAATAATTGGACTATCAGCTGTCTGTCGTTAGGCTGAAAGAGGAAACAAGACTCGATGATGGGAAAGTTTATAAATTAAAGCAACTATTTATAATTTCGGTACTTACAATTTCATTTTGATTTACTTGATTCGGCAACGGCGGTGATTCCTGTAAATAAAGAGATACAAGTTACTATCCTCTGCTGATTCGTATAATATCAATGTAAAGAAGTTAAATACACACATCCAGAAAATCTTCCAATAATTTATACAGATCTGGACTGAGTAAAGTCTTCAATATTTCTTTACGTTTTTGGCAATCCTCAAGTTTCTTCTTGTATATTAAAATTTGTAACTTTTCACGCGTATTCATCTTTTCGATTTCCTGTTTGTATATATCTATCCTGGAAGGCATAACATCAATTTAAAATGTTAGCGCGGTTCACTTGTCTATAAAATATACATTAAAATACACTCTATTTTGAATTCTTGACAATTGACATGCTTGACAAATATGTGTGATGTATATACTCAGTGGATTGGGAAAAGTAATTTTCGAATGAACATCGCTGCGCTTCATTAGGTAGTAATACGTTCGTTTTATCATATTTCTAAAACCACAATTTATTGGCGGTGCAAATTAGCATCGTTCTTACTTATATTCTTAAGTTTTTTTTGCAGCAATGTATATAGTAAGTGTAAAAACGTTTAGCAAAGCTTAACCTTTGTTAAAACGCTGTAAAAGATATTTTTGAAGAAAAGCTATAGCATGCAAAGGATAATTTATACTGTTGATATTATATAAATACTCTGATATAAGAACTTACAGTTATACTTTGTTAAATTATAAATATGTATATAAAAACGCAAAAGCTTGGTATACTTACATAATATACCATAACAATATCTATAATAAAGTTAAATACAACTTTTTCATCGTCGCAAGTATTTTACACAACTACAAATTGGTAAGGGAAACAGAAAATAATCTATTTTGTATGTATACATATATTTCTTAAAAATAATTTCTATACGAATTGATCAGTTAATAGTAATTTTAAATAAGACTTGGAGAAAAATATTCAATAACAAACTAACGCATTGTTTAACGCTAAACGATTAATATAAAAATAATAATGCGTTTCGCATTTTTTACACTTCAAGTGTGGGTCGCTGAAAATATGGAGATCGTGACTTCGAATCAAACAGTAATTAATAAAGAAATAAATATTTACCCACAACACATCCTCTATTTTCCCCCCTTATATTAAAGCATAATAATCTTAACGCATAAATAACACAGGTCTGGAAAATGTACAAAAAACTATTTGTTATAAATTAGACTAACGCTTATATAGGTTGTTTGTTTAACGCAGTGAAAATTGTTTTAAATATAAAGCTAACAACACAGCAGTAACGTATCAATCCAGTGGAGAGATAAAAGTAACGCGAAGTAACTAAATAAAACTCACTCCAGCCAGTCGCAAAATATACCATTTAAATTGGTCTCATTGTATACAGTATTGACAAGTCTATAAATAAAATGATGTTAATAGCTTTTGACAATAAAGACACTTTGGTGTTTGAATTTTTGGTCGCTATGCAGCAGTGGAAATAATGTAATCAGAAAGACTTGTGATATTATTAATTCAGAGAGAATTGCTTGACCGACATTAGCGTTAGATTATATTATGAATATTGCTGAAGTGGAAAATTATCACGATTCAAAGATAGCACTTAAAGCTACGAAAAGCAAACGAAGAACGCGGTGAAGTAGAATGGAATAGCAATATAAATCGAGGCTAAGGCTTGCAATTTTAAAGAATAAATTAAATACTTGCTACGCATTGGTTCGATAATTTTGGCAACAATATTGTAACAGACCTGTGTGATTTATGTTTTCATATCTTAGTAGAGATCAAAGGATTCGCAAAGCACTTGCTTTTGCATAACTCAAACCTTAATTGTCGCTGTTGACAGTATTCGCAGCGCGCTTCATCGCCGGGGCCCTCCCTTTCTTTTCGCAATTTGCTGGGACCAGCTGAGAACAAAGTCAATTAGCGCATAGCTTTTGCAATTAATTAACACAATAAACCACATGTTATCAAATCATACATAAGAAAATAGGCCTACAACTAAACTGGACCATGTGTTCGTGAATTGTAATTCAAAATACAAAGCAATGCATGCTTGACGAATATCAAACCAGTTTGAAATATATTAAGGGAAATTATGAGTTTTTTTTTTTTTAGTGGAGTGTCTCTTTTAGATAAAACTCGCTATGCTCGCATGTACAGCTCCGTTTTCCCTAAACCTCACCTTCCATTTCACTTTGTGATGTACGTTTTAAGTTTCCATTTTGAATGTGAGGCAACGGTGGTGGTGGCTTACTTGCATCAAACCTGTACATTTTTCGGGTTAAAATTTAATGTTTAGTTTACGAGAGACATATTTGTTAGTAGACATATTATTTCACATACTTTGCTGGAAGAACAGAAGATGAGGTTTGATTTACTGCATAACCAATGCCCGATTGTCCTGGTGCTGAAATTTATAAAAATAAAAATTAAAGGTGTCTAGATTTGTTTTACACAATTGTAATTTACAAAAAATAAATCCAATTACCTGTGTAAGTTGGTGGTGCTGAGTTGGGAGTGGTTGTAGAGCTTTGGGTAGGTGGTGGAGGTGGTGGAGGCAAATGTTGGATAGGGTGCATTGGAGGAGGAGGGGCAACAATTGAAGGCATAGACATCATTGGCCCCATGTTCAACCCTGTTGGGTGCATTGCGCCCATTGTCCTTCTTGGCATATGCATTGGCCCCATTGGTGTTGCTTGAGCTGGCACAGAGCCCATAGGTTTTGCTACCGCAGGTTGCGATGGTGCTGAAGGTGGTGGTGGTGGTATTGCTGGATTTGGTACGACCTCCTTGATGTATGAGGCAATCTGTTGAATTGTTTCTCCTTTGGACAATTTAGCATATCTCTTTTTAAGTACCAATGGCAGTTTCCCAGTCGAAAAAAACAAGGTCTGCTCTTCTTTAGTTGTGTGCAAATAGGTACAACCTTCTCGTGAACAAACTGCATGATTTTGATAGTCATGACAAAATTTAAGGGTTTCTTTCATGTGTTCATAATCAAATACATGACGGAATCTACAGGCAGCACCCTTAGTGCAAGTACCCCACTCATAATTTCTACAAATTTCTCGCTGGTCACTGTTTGCCACATTTCTGCCACCAGATGGAGGTAGTGATGTTGGTTGAGTTGAGCCGGGTGTCTGTGACCCGTCTTGAGTATTAGTGTTGTTCATTTACTAAAAACCATGATATAATACAATGGTATTAAAAAAAATATAATTATACAAAGTTGATTATAACTATTACACATAAATATAGATTTGAGTAATGTCAATATTAAAAACCTTGACTATGTAATGCATTTACTGTAATTAGGTGTACCTTAATTAATAAATTAGTGTTTAGAGTCAAAAACCATTCTAAATATTTGGTCTTAAAATTGCAAATAATTGACCCAAAAACCAAACAAATATCGCACAAAGTTATAACCTCATTTAAGATTTACATTAATTGTTAGTGTAATAATTCACAGGAAAAAATTGGAAAATCGCAAGTTATTTGTTAATAATCAGAACTGCATTTAAAGGAGTGGTTCTCTCTTGCTTCGATGTTACTATGATCGAGAATTTTTTTTACAGATTCCTTACATCGAAAACAAAATAATGAACTTCTAAAATATTCCTCACTAGTTTTAAGATATTTCATTATAAAAATATATATAGTGTACCGTAACAAGCATGCGATTTATATAGCACATTCAACTTTGTTTTCTGTATAACAATTGACATCACTTATTCACTTTCTCAATTCATGTGAAGTAGTCTTGACCATTACGTTTTGTAAACTTACTTGAAAAACTAAGAAATGCTGTACATTTTCTGTCAAAAGAAATAAAATATATCAAATCGCGAATTTGCTACTATCGACGAACCACAACAACGCACAACAGAATTTCACCAAAATGGCGTCTGACCAGTTGGTACCAAGCGTCAAGTCTGTGGTCGAGATCTCTCTTCGTCTATGCCAAAGGTATTGCCATCACAATATAATATGATTCGCCTAGTTTCTGTTGTAAATGTAATTATATAGGGATAACATTTAATTCAGTAATATGTAGTAATAATTACTAAACTATGACTAGTTATTACTACCTCTATAATCCTGAATTCAAAGCAAATTTTCATATATAATATATTTCTCATGTTCCTGTTCAAGCACAGACAGCAAATCTTTAACTATATACAATTATTGCTAACAAATGAGAAAAAGATATAAGAAAATGGTATGTTTTTATAGTATTATTTAAATAGGTACGTCTTTGTAAAAAAATATGATGATAGAGGTAACTTGTAGTCTGTAGATACTATAGATGTCGGTTAGTTCTGCTGCCAGAATTTAGATATAACCCTTAGCCATTTAATATTCAGACGATGACGAACACGTTTCAGAAAAAGTACGCTTCTATAGAATATTAGGTCAATGATGAAAATAAAACAAAATTCTAAGAAATTTTTATTAAAATATTGCAAAACATTAATACATTTTTCTTATAATTGCATTATGGTTATAGCACCAACATCAAATTATAGACGGACGAACATGCTTAGGAGATAAGTGAGGGTGTTTTGTCTAAAGTGACTAGCAATTAAATTTATTGCATAAAATTTCAATATTGCACATTAACTACGAATAACACGACTAAGGACAAAGACTACGCTTCACTTAACAATACCTATAATAAAATAGTAATGTGTCGGTAGGCTAACTAAAGCTATAAATTTTGAGTTACACTCGTTTACCTACATGACTATAATGAAAATTTAATTGTTTCTCTTATTTTATCGTTACTGTCAACATTAATGTTTATAAACATAATAATTAAATTATTAAACTATTTACTGAGATCCTAATATATCAATAACCCTACAATTTCTTATCTAAAGTGAGATCATTTTTTATGGCCGTCGTCTTAAAAATGTTAAAATTTAATAATAATTAGGATTGCAATATACTTTAGGCTTATTACTAAAAATAAACTCCTAAAATCTATTATAAAGTGAAATTATTGATATTAATAATACTTTTTCTTCAAGGAACGTACACGGTTAATATTTCCCGTAATTTTGGTGTTAATTTTTTTTTAATATTTTATTTGGTGTGTTCTAAAGACTATGTCGTTTTTATAGTACGAGATAATAAAAGATAAAAAGTATTATTAACTTATAAAAATCATTACAAACTAGTGGATGCAGATTAAATTCGTTATTATAATACAATAAAATTATCTAAATAATACTTCGATCGACCCTCACAGCCTCACTCTATCAAACGGCCAATCAGGCGCAACACATGCAATTAAAATATGAATGATATATTTTTAAGGTGAACTTATTGGTACGGATTATAATTTGAGTTAGATAGAGAAAATTATGAGTCTGAGTTATTCGGTGATTGTGGCCCGTGAGATGGTTGTTGTGGGGGCTGTTCTGGAGGCACGTGATAAGGTTGTTGTATTGGACGCTGCGGTTGTGGAACCACGTACGGCGGTGGTGTTATGGACACGCGAGGCGGCTGTTGTAGAGGCAACTCAATTGGTTGTGGTGGAGGCACGTGAAACAACTGTTGTGGGGGCCGCTCAAATGGCCATTGTGGGACCTCGAGTAACGGCCGTTGTGGGGGCCGCTCAAATGGCCATCGTGGGACCTCGAGTAACGGCCGTTGTGGGGGCCGCTCAAATGGCCATTGTGGAACCTCGTGTAACGGCCGTTGTGGGGGCCGCTCAAATGGCCATCGTGGGACCTCGAGTAACGGCTGTTGTGGGGGCCGCTCAAATGGCCATCGTGGGACCTCGAGTAACGGCCGTTGTGGGGGCCGCTCAAATGGCCATTGTGGGACCTCGAGTAACGGCCGTTGTGGGGGCCGCTCAAATGGCCATTGTGGGACCTCGAGTAACGGCCGTTGTGGGGGCCGCTCAAATGGCCGTTGTGGGTACATCTTCGTTGGCTGCCGTGGGTACACCAGAGGCGGCGGTTGTGGGTACACGTGAGATGAGGCACTTGCTACAGATGGCTGTGTCGGAGCCCGCACTACGCTACGTTGATACTCCATGGATGTGCCTAGGATAAATAATTCTTTTTAAACTACAGCGGTATTGTGACTTCACTATGAAATAGTATTCTATATAATATGAGTTATATGAAATACTATTTTATGGCATGATGAATATTAGCAAATAAAGCGTAAGAGAAACGTAGTATTCTGTTAACTTTGTTTGTGTTTTTGTTGTTGTTCCAACAAGTAAAAAAGTAAACATAAGATACACAAGTATCTCTAGAGAAGCTTACTTTAAGTAAAGTAGCAATCGGTAGGTGCAATATAAGAAGCAAAAAGCTTAAAAAGTAAGATACATTTCGATCTCAAGATTAAACTACTATGTAATTCAAAAGCTACAGATACACGTTTGTATTTGTCATTACAGTTATTTGAAAAGCACTTTGCAAGCAAATATTGTTCTAATTCTAATTCCAAAAATGTTGTGCGAGCTATTTTAAAAAGCACATAATATAGACCATTGAGGCTTTCTTATATTTCTCATAAAAAAATAATAATAATTATCTCTAAATTAAATAAAGGACAGCCCTTGAACGATTTCGCTTTTAAAGCAGCAGTTAAACGGAGGATTGTTACAATTTAATGTGCCTTAGGTGTTTGAAGCTACAAAAAAATGAGACCCTCTATAAAACATACATACTAACAATAATATGGAAGATGTAAAAAAGGGACGATATATTTTTACCTGACCAGGGCAGGTATGGCAACTTTTGAACTATCACGATGTAAAAGCCTTTTTATATATTGTTTATTGTATTGCATGTGTTCTATAATTCTAAAGGATACAGATTAAAAACCATTTTCTTAATTCTAATATAAAAGAATATTTGCGAAACCCAATTAAAGCACTACGCTATATTACTGTACGTAGTGCAAGTGATAAGCAATAAATAATCGGCAAAAGTTTACTACATATACTAAATAGTAGTTTGATTCTAATCATGTTTATATTATTTTTACAAACATACACTCACACATCACACAAATACATTCACTTACACATTCATGCATTCACATAATACACAGTCTACACACACATTTTTAGCTGACCAACGTTAATCAACATAATTATAAACTAAATGTCAATCTTTTAATGTAGATAATACGGGATGGAGCGAGGCTGTTCCAACACAAGTTAGTAATAAACTTTCTGGAATGGCCTCAATACTATTTGTAATTTAATTATTAAGAGAGAGACAATATAACAAAAAAAAAAATGTTTTTTTTATTCATTATTAATTTATGATAGAAATCGACAGAATCGTAGGCTTCATTTGATGGAAAGCGACAAACCATTTTACCAATCATCTTGACCAGATGCGCTATCGTCCTATTTTGGCTTTGGATATTCAACAATAGAATATCATAATAGAGTACCTCACAACATTTGCTTTTGCTCTTCAGTTATTAGAAGTACAGTAGAGCGATAATTATCCGAAACTAGAATAGTAAGATTATTGGATAAATTCTCTACCAAAATAAACTAATTGTGTAATTTAAAAATCGAAAATAAATTAAAAAAATTTTCGACTCGGGAAGGATTTGAACCGGCATATTTTCGATTTTTAAATTACATAGTGCCTTCATGTGCATTAATATGTAAAAAATATTAATGTTTTCAAACTAATTGTGTGTTTGAATAATAGACACTACTGTCAATCTTTTATTGTTCTTTGCACAGCTACGCACAGATCTCCACTCGCATATAATAGAGCTTTAAGAGCCACCTTGCTGCAACCCAAAGAAACTACGCACTATTATACTTCTAGTTTAATAATGTAGGTAAAATTTATAAATGTCTCACATAATAAATACAACATAACCACAATGATGAAAATAGATATGATAGGCGTATAAGCAAAGCCTTTTCTTTGCAAAGGCAATTCAAGAAGCGATAGAATCTAGCGATACACAATCACATACCAACCTCCTATCACATTTCTCACATCCTTGCAAGCTTATGAGCGTTCTTGAATCATCGCTTGCAGATCATATCTAAATGACTAACGTCATTAAGATTATCTCTGCTTTAACCTTGGAGGATGAATTACTTTCTTTATAGAGAAAAACAGAGAAACAATCTATCTAATTAAGTAGAATTTCACATCGTGGGCTATTTGACAAGGCGAGCAATATAGCGTTAATTACTTTTAGTTAATTATTCAAAAAAATTAGAAATAATAAAACAATCACGTATGGTAAACAGAAATTGATTTAAATAAAATGGAACTTTTTTAAACATTTGTTACAAGACACAAAACGCTACTAATTGGTCAGGTTTATGACGTCACTTGCTTATAAACAGTGCTATAAACCAACTGATCTGCGTTAATAATTAAATTAATTTGTAATTTATCTCAATACTTCAATTACTGTTAAAATGTAAATGATTGGTACAAGTGCATGTCGATTGTAGATCATATGATCTACATACACCAAGGGCCAATATAAGGTAGTGACGTCACTAGGTGTACTGCAATACGGTGCAGCGTTATTTCGCAAACTTAGCGTTTAGGTGCGCAATTCCAATTTTGAATTTGAAATTTAAATATTTCAGCAAATGTATCAGAATTTGAAAAATACTACTATCGGAGGTTTTTTAACATCTACCAAATAATCAGTCTAATAAGCCCAATATATATAATAAGCCCATTGGTTTAGGGTACGAGTAAGAAGAACTTACGTGCAACTGGTACTTCCGGAAGATAGTGTTGTGAAATTTGTGGGGGCATATTAGAGTTCGGGTAGGGCTGCGGTTCAGTTGTGGCAACGCCTGGTAATGATCCCGATCTCTCTTCTGATTTTCTTGCTTCTGCCCGCTCCTCTTCTGTTTCACTTGTAGAAGCAATGTTACCAATTAGATATTTCAATAGTGTTTGCTGTAATGTACTTATCCAAGAATCTGCATTAGGCAATCCGTAGAACGCCGTAGGTGGACTCTCGTTGGTGGAAACATTGTCGTTGATTTCATATGACAAGTCAGCGTTTACTGAATCTGGAACGATTTTTATATGTATTAAAAGTCTCTGGAGTTAATTTTGCCAGTTAAGTAAAGAAATTCTTGAAAAAAAATGCACACAATATTAGGTATGGTAAAAGTGCGCTTGTGCCTATCAAATTGCGTTGTTTTACAATAAGCAAATGAAGTCTTCAAAGACTCTTTAGGAAAAGATTTCGCTTATTGGTAAGTAATATTGTTGGACTTTCGCTTTCGCGTGTTGGTTCTCAAGTTTGATTGAGTTTGATACATAAAAAATACTGCTTAGACGAAAAGGCGATACATGTCATAGTAAGTGGTCTTACGATACCTCCCGAAAGGTTTTGATTTTCGGGAGATACTGAATCGACAGCGATATTATCGTGTAGATGTTATACGGCTTTGATCCTTGACTCTCCTGATTTAAAGTATTTTACTACCGCTAGTGCTGTCTGTTTGAGCGAGTTCTACACCTTATATTTTAACGGTTTGAAACACGAAACACATTAGTTAATTTATATTTAAGAACGAGTCTTTGATGCTTTACAACACATGTTGCCTGAGGGCACAAGAAAACCCCTCGTAGTTAAAAATAATTTGTACCTATATTTCGCGATTTTTTAATAAGGTGTTATTATATACTGTCTATAGTTTACGCGAGTAGTACGCATTTAAATAAAACACTAACGGTTTAAAACGCGATATATTAAACTTATAATCGCGTTTTAAACCGTTAAAGTGTTTTATTTAAAGGTGTTATTATATCTATACTAGTACACTTACAGTATACTATAAGGAGAAAGTAAGAAAGAAGCATACCTGCATGGGGTATTTGCGGCATCCTTGGAGGAGGGCTACTGTGATTAGGATAGGGCTGTTCTTCTTCTGGAATTCCACTTGCAGCGTGTCCATTAAGAAGGTTGAGACCACCGTTGCGTGGAAAATCATTTGAATAATTGGAATTTTCAACACCAAGTATTCGATTCGCGTATTCTGTAACATTTACTCTAGTTAAATATGAACAATTTACTGCTACGAAACTCATTGAAGATCAAAATTTTAACTCACCATCCTCTAGATTTTGAAATAGTCTAATAACAAAATCCAGAGCGGAGTTGCGAACTAAACCACTTCTTTGTGATCTTAAATAGCTAATTACTTCTCTGTATTCGCTAGGAGCAGGTGGCTGTGTAAAAAAAGGTGTTTTAAGTTAAATACAGTGTGTAGTTTACGCGAGTAGTACATTTAAATAAACCACTTTATCGGTTTAAAACGCGAATATTAGTTAAACTTACTTAAAAATTCAGATTCTTGCCGTGACCACGGCTGCTGCAAAGCATCCGAAACGTCGGGACGAAATTAAAAATAATTTTCAAATAAGTTTAACTAATACATATATCGCGTCTTAAACCGTTAGAGTGTTTTAAGTTGTTTAAATTAACATTACTTACAGCATCGTTTTCCTCCAAATAGGTAATTATTTGGAACTGAAATCGAAAAAAAAGCAACGATATGTATTAATGTTTCTTAAAGTACATTGTGAATAAATGATCACAGTAATAAATAAGGTAAATTCGTTAGAAAAAAAATGTTTTTTTTTTTAACTTCATAAAAGAAGGACGAGAATAAAGAAACCTTAAATTTTACTTACTATTTTTATTTTCATCGATTCATTTGTCTCAGATTTCCAGATCTGTAAATGAAATCGTTTTATTATTTGTTTCAAATCGCATTACCGAATAACAATGTGTGTCTTAATACCTCAAATAACTCCACCACTAAGGACATCATTGTTGTGTGCCCTGATCGTTGCCTAATAGTGCTGATTTTGCGTTCAATAAACTCTCTTTTTCTCTTCAAGACTTCTATTCTCTCGATTATTTTTTTATGTTTCTCGCTCATGGCCGCATTGCAATAGGTAATACTGTAATATTTAAACACAATATTTCAATTCATTTTTTCATTATTAACTAAATAAAAAGCCGTCTATAGTTTACGCGAGTAGTACACATTTAAATAAAACACTTTAACGGTTTAAAACGCGATATATTAGTATAGTAAGTAGTAATAAGTTTAACTAATATATCGCGTTTTAAACCGTTAAAGTGTTTTATTTAAATAAAAAGCCGTCAAGTCCGGGTATAAAGATTGTACATCTGAAAGTTTTCAGATACTTTCGGAAATTTTCATTGCTGATTATCAAGAAAATCTTTATCTCTTACTATTGTGTGTAAATCTGCTTTAATCTCATTAAGGACAAAAAACCAGAGAGTATGCTTAGCTTAAGTCAGCGATTTTTCGATTAGACGTGGCGCATTACTATTCTTCAGTGACTTTTTTAAAATAATTGAGTTTATAGTATAGAATGGAACTCAAATTACAATTTTATATTCAATGACAGATGATTAAAATGAAAACTGAATCTTGTTGATTTCAAAATCGAAAATAAATTGAATAAATTATAAATATTATTATAAATTGAATAAATTATAAATATTATTATAAATTGAATAAATTATAAATATTATTATAAATTGAAAAAAAAAAAAAAATAATAAAAAAAAAAAAACAAGGTGGCTACCACTCGGTAGCTCAACAAAATACCTTGGTCCAATCTACTAATAATTTTTGCATTCATATGGTTTAATCGATTATAAATAGGCGGGGCGTAGTTGTCTACAAAATATCTGTTTGTCGCACTATATACTATTTTCCAAAATATTTTTTTCGCTCTGCACCTTACTGGGACCAACTGAGAAAAGCGTTAATTAGCGCAAAGCTCTAACAATACGACAAAGTAATTAGAGAAGAAACTAAAGCTAATATCCTGAAAAAAATACACGACTACACAACCATAATTTCAAAAGATTACAATGCATTGCTCATTGATTTCAAGGTCACAATGAGTGAGGATATAGAGTAGTTTGAATTAACACGTCGAGTTTATGATTTTTTTTTTTTTAATCATATAATATCAAAATTCAATGAAAATGGAGATAGCCATGTTTGAAATTTAACGCCTCACCTCGAAACTAATATAGGACGAAGAGACAATGTACGCTGTCCTGGTGTCCCTTGAAGTTTTTAATTATTTCGCAAACAAGTGTACTACAAATAATACTATACTACATCGAATCACAATTTGTCAAAAATTTTTGCTTATTTATAATTACTCTATTTATACGCATTGTATGTAATTTTATAATGAAATGTGCTAAAATCGTAAACTTTATTTTTAATCCAAACATCTCGCCTTCCATTTGTCCGTAACCGGGACGTTTTAAGCCCTCATTTTGATTTTGAGATAATGACGGCGGTGGTTGACTCGTATCAAACCTGTACATTACCTCACATTAAAATAAAATTTTTATCATATAAAAATATTAATATTTTTCAGGAAGAATGTGACTTTTAAATAAAACACTTTAACCGTTTTAAACTCAATATATATTAGCTATACTTGCTTGTTTTTTTTTTACTACGGCCCGACGTTTTGGATGCATTGCAGGGGTCGTGGTTACGTGGTTACCACGGTGTTCAATTTAAATGTGTACTACTCGCGTAATCTAGAGATAATATTTAAGAATATGGCTTACATACCTTGGTAAATAATTCGGTGGTGACATTCGATTTGAATATTGCATGCGTGATGGTCCAGGAGCTGAAATTAAAAAACAAAACATAATCAATTAATATATAAATTCTTTGTATACTATGTATATATTTAGTTTACCTGAATACATTGCCGAGTCTGTGATTGGTGCAGAGCTTCGGGTAGATGGTGAAGGTAATTGCTGTATAGAGATATGACGAGGCACAGACATCGTGGAAGAGGGACCTGGCATAGACATTCTGTTAGAAGGCCCGGGCATAGAAACTGTGGAAGAGGGACCTGGACCAGACATTCTGGTAGAAGGCCCGGGCATAGAAACTGTGGAAGAGGGACCTGGACCAGACATTCTGGTAGAAGGCCCAGGCATAGAAATAGATTGATTTGGCCTAGATGCGTTTAGTTCGTTGACATTATTAGATGAATTTGTCATTTTAGCATATCTCTCTGCTAGGACTCTCGGGATTTTTCCAGTGGCAAAAAATAAGCATTGCTCTTCTGTAGTGGTATGCAAATAATTGCAACCCCTTCGTGAACAATTTCTATTTTGATAGTCATGACAAAATTTTAGGGTATTTTTCATGACCTCTAAATCAAAAACGTGACGGAATTTACAGGCAGCACCTTTACCACAATGACCCCATAGAAAGTTGCGACATATTGGAGTCTGGTCTGAGGGTTGTGAAGATTCTGGTGATGATGGGATATCATCATCACTGCTGTCCATTTTCTAAAAAGATATATTATCCTAGTATTAAACAAAAAAGTAAGACAATAAAATTATCAATGTGGGAGATTGACTCTTTAGATTCTAAACCATTATCAATTAATTCTGTAAAAAATATAAATTTATTTTAGCAACAATTAATAACTACCGTCTACTGATAATACATAACAGACAGAGTCTAAATCATATCCTTTTACGTACTTTGGGCACAGAACCCCAATACAGACCTTTAATAATTTAAAACATTAATATTTACCTTAGCAAGTTAGAAATGTAGATTATTAATATATTTCTTAAGGATGCCTATTTTGTCCAGTCTATCTTATAGGTTGTTGCAACGCACTGTTACTTTCATTGAATTTCTACCCTCCTGTCTAATACTAGAGCAAAAACAGCCTTACATTAGTGTTGTGAAGTAATAACTTTATTATCAGAAAATAGGTGTTGGTAAAATTATTATACTAATTAGCCTGACCGTCTTTATTATAATGTTAAAGTTAACCAAATGTTAATAATGAAACTAGAATTTAAGAAATGGCACATAGATAATTATTAGTTATTTATGGATGGATATTTCACTATTAAATACATAACCATTTTTTAACTTGCCAAAATTGATATCAACCTAATGAATTTAGTGACAGCACAAACAAATGTTGCTAACTAAAGAGAAGTCTATAGTCTCATATAACCTTCACATAGCTAGAATAAGTGCATAGTCAACTATCTCAAGACAATAAGATCTTTGTCTATTTATTTAATTAGATCGATATTAAAGAAACACACCGAGTTGAAAGTAAATATTATGTATATATTTATTGAGTATAGTTTGTATGTTTCTTCTAATCAAAACAAACACTAATTAAAGGAACTCTTTGGCAAACTAGGAAAGTTTAACTTGATAGGCTGTTGCCACTTAAACATCAGATGACAGAATTCTCTCTCAGATGTAAAGACACTGTTTTGTAGTTTGTCTTGGGTAATAAGTACAGGGAACAGGTTCCGTTTAATTGTGGGAATTTGCCAAACATTCCTTCTGTTCCTTTCACAAATAATATTATATTGCATTTGTATCCATTTGATTTGTAGTAAAATATTGCGGGTAGTAACATAGTCAAGTTATTGGTCACTGCTTAATTGTACAAGTTTGTTTGTTTGCTTGGCATTGACCGTCAATTTCTTCTTTATTTTGTAATTATACTGGGTATTACTAGTGCTTAAATATCAGTTTCTCGTTTATATAAAAGATCTTTTGGATATGGTTATGTCAGAGTTCAGATATATATAGTGTAAATGTAGGTAGTGAAGTCGAAAATTAATAAGATTGGCTTGATGTAAGAGGGAGAATGTAAAGGTTTATAGGAAGTTTTAATCTTGTATCAAACAATTAGTGTAACTGGTAAAACAGGTATAAGTCGAAAATTATGAGGGGGTGCTATTAACATTTAACATAAACAAATACTTAAAGGGGTGATTATGTTTGTCTCTTTTATAGTTTTGTTTTTATATTCGAAAAGCTTAAGGTTAGGTATATATTATAGTTAAAAGTTTTTATGTTAAGCAGTCGAGACAAGAGTTTTAAGATATTGAAATAGATAGATGAGTTTGTAAAGTTATTATAATTGCGGTTTAATATTTTTATATTAAAGAGGTTTTGGTACTAAGCTGTCGAGGAGATAGTTGCTGAAATTTATGCTAGTATCTGTGAAGGTGTTTTGTTAATATAGTCGAGGTTGTGTATTGTATTGTGTACTTGAGGAATTTTAATAAACTAAAAGTTATATATAGATGATAAAGTAGGAGTTATTTAGGGAGTCGAGTAGTGGTAGTTGTAGTAGACACTTTATGTAGCATGTTGAAAGGAAGTTACAGCAGATGTTTAATGTAATAGAATGGAAACATGCTTGAGTAGGAAAGTTAGAAACATGTTGGATTTAAGGGCATTATTTTAACGTGGGGCAGTTAAGTGAGTATTGGTATACAAAAATTGGGAGAAAACGTGGAAAATTCTTCATCATTATGGATTTTAAGGCGTCGAACACTGCTAAAACGGATCAAGATACCCAAAAAATATGTATGAGAGAATTATTCCTCTTTAAATGATCTAAAAAGTCCGCGATGCTATACGTCCATCTTTTGAAGATTAACTAACAAGAACGATGGTAAGGGACGCGACCGACGTCGTGGGTTACAGCTTAAGTTTATAAAGATAAAAGAGTTTACAAACACCCATTGGATGCCCAAAAAAACTTTTTCAGCGGACAAGACGCTGCAACAGCTAGTTCTTAATATTTACCGACATTAAGATAAAAAAACAAGAAACTACATGACACAATTTAAAAAGAAAGAAGAAAAGTTTTCCAAGCACAAAATAATTTGGTATAACTCCGTTATTACTAAGGAAACTTGAGCAACTAAATGTATATTTCAATGGACATGTTGACAATTCAGTTATTGAAATGAAATTTCTAGTAGATACAAAAGACTCACCGATTAAATAGACTTATTGGTGTGGATAAATTGCTCCTGAATCTCAATGGATAAATAAATAGATATAAAATACAGCTAACAACGTGCCAGGATTTAGTAACTACCACATCACTAATGTACAATAAGATATATTCGAAAATTTGAATTGCAATAAATTTAACGTACCCCGGTCTAGAAGTTATTTGAAACTTCACCGCTGATTGGAAGAAATTGATACAGATGTTAGGTGGTATGAAAGGTGCTCCACAGATTCAAATAAATGTTATAAAGACAACCTCTGAAACTAATTTTTGACTGTTATTACAGAATACAGATTATAATATTTTAGTTACTAGGCTCCGCTTGGGGACTATATTATTATAAATATACATTTTACCTTTAGAGGTAAAAGCATGAAAGGCATGTAAAATGATGTGTGAAAAACTGCACAGACTTATGAGCCATTACGTAATGTCGAGCAATTGCCGCCGACTCAGTCTCTCAGCGGTCAAAACAAAGAAAATCGAATCTGGAGACCAAGCCGAGTAACAATATTCTAAGAACATTCGTGCAGAATCGACGTCGATTACTAACGCTAATAAAAATAAATAATAATACTAATAATTCTTTATTCGTAATATTCGTATATATAGTACAAACCCACATCTTACAAATATGTCATATAAAAAATTAAAATAACAATACGAATCAGTTAACATTACTGTTTATTTGCGGTTGCTGTCAGCGTGCACTTTTGCCCAGTTCCTTAAAATAAAGAAAAAGAAAACCAAAAGAGGTGCATCGTAGGTTACAAGAACGAAAATCAAAAGGAATGTTTAAAGCAATTTATCTAGACGTGACCTTTGTAAATTTTTCTAATAAATTTAAATTACGTAACTTGTTAATTTTTTTTAATGTCGATTAGAATATTGTTGACTCAGTAAGTCTTAAATTGCTTTTCGGGATGGGTTGTTGACAACCAAGTGCGTAAGCACCCATAAAAACCATAATAAGTTACAATTGCCGGCGACTCGGTAGACACTCAACAGTGACTCTAATCATTGTTATTACTCATAAAACATTTATGACTTAACAGACAAAGTTTTATCTATAGCTCAATCCTCACAATATGCTGAAATTTAAAAAATCGCAAACAAGTCTTTGTTCAGTAATACTAAATGGCAAGGAAGGCCGCATCTGTGGATGGAACATTCTACTTGTATTAAGTCTGTGGTCATGTACTATCTTGCGAGGTGTCGTATACGGTATAATCTGTGATTGCAAGTCACTTTTGGATTTTCATGAAATTGTAAAAATTAGGCGGATAAATTTATTTTATTGTCTTTAATTGTAGTGTGAACATAGAACAATTCCTTGATATTCCCTTAATTTTTAAGTTAATATTGATGATTAAGCACCACACCGTTGAAACATGTAAGTAATGTTTGTTATCATTATTTTATGGCAAGTAAAAATCTTATTGTAAGAAAATCGTTGATATTTTTTTTTTAAACAAAATTCTGTTTATAGAAAATGTACTTAAGAATTAATATGAATCGAGATTATCATTTTCAAAATTAACTCTACTTTTTCAATTGTCAAATTTTCTGTCAATATTTTTTTGCAAAAATCCTGTATTGTTTATGCAAGTATTGTTTTCAATTGGGAAAATAAAATAAAAGTTGGGTGGGGTCCTCTAAAACATATCTACATATCGAGCTTTGACCGCCATTTTTCGTAAGCGCCAGTAAAACTAATATTTTAAACCCTAACCTATCATCTATCCGTGTTGATTTCGGACTCAAAAATAAAACCGTTTGAAAGTTATATAGCAAGTGGTAAAATTATCGTAAATACTAATATTTTTTATTTTTAAAGCTTTAACGTAAGCGACAACAATTATTATGAATTATATATTATTTATTATTCTTAAATTTTAAAAGGTTTTTGAATAAATTCATTGCTTTATTTACTTATAAATATTTTAAAATGCCTATTTATTTAACAATTATAGTTTCTAGGACGTTGTCATTTGGATAGATATTTTTACCGTAAAATCCAAAACAATTATTGGTTTTGGCGGCAAAAATATCGCAAGCGTCATAAATATAAATTAATTGTTTTATTTACTTCTAAACCTTTTAAAATGCCTATTTATTTAACAATTATAGTTTCTAGGACGTTGTCATTTGGATAGATATTTTTACCGTAAAATCCAAAACAATTATTGGTTTTGGCGGCAAAAATATCGCAAGCGTCATAAATATAAATTAATTGTTTTATTATTTAAAAACCTTTTAAAATGCCTATTTATTTAACAATTATAGTTTCTAGGACGTTTTTATTTGGATAGATATTTTTATCGTAAAATCCAAAACAATTATTGGTTTTGGCGGCAAAAATATCGCAAGCGTCATAAATATAAATTAATTGTTTTATTATTTAAAAACCTTTTAAAATGCCTATTTATTTAACAATTATAGTTTCTAGGACATTGTCATTTTGATAGATATCTTTATCGCAAAATCGTAAAACGTTTTGGCGGCAAAAATATTGCATGCGCCATAAATGGCATGAATACATGTTATTTTTTGTTTATTTCCTATAGTAGTATATATAAATACCTAAAAATCAATAGAAATATTTGTTTCCTAGCACACTTGTTTTTTAAATATTTAAGGAAACCTTCTGTAAAATTTGATTTTCGTTGGTATGCTAAAGTGGATATTGTGAAGATATAATATATCTCTAATATAGCTTTGACTTCCACTTATATATATAAATATGTATAAAAGAACTATGGTGATCTCTGTTAGTTTATATGAAATGTTTATTTTATTATAGATAAAAATGGATTCAGCTGGTGATTGGTGTCTTATTGAGAGTGATCCTGGTGTTTTCACTGAATTGATTAAAAACTTTGGTAAGGATACTGGAATCTTTTGCACTTTTTTTTTCAATTTGAAGCAGTAGTTCCTGAGATTAGCAAATTTTTATCAAACAAATTACACCTTCACAATATTAATATATATTTATGTACCTTTGATTGAGTTTTTCTTTTACTAGTTTTAATATGTGATGTAAATTAATGTCATATATATAAATTGTTATTCAAATTCTATTTTAGGTGTAAAAGGTGTCCAGGTTGAAGAAATGTGGACAATAGATGACGGCATATTTGAAAACTTACGGTAAGTTTTATATGCCATAGCATTATATTATGGGTAGGTTTTGGCTAAACGCAGAAATGGCTGTGTTGGAAAAGTTAATAGACAAGTTTAGTTAGTTTTTGTATATTTTGCTCTAAAACATTTTTTTTAAACAACATCTTGCTTATTTATTCTTTTATTTGCATGGAATCTTTGAATAAAACACCTACAGATATTTGTCTTTTATTATTTATTATACTATCTACATATTTAAAGAAAGCCACCTGACATTTAAATCATAAATATTTCTGTTTGTAGACCTGTACATGGAATAATTTTCCTTTTTAAATATGTACAACAAGAGGAAGCATCACAACCAGTTGTGAGCGATGAACGGCTCCAGAAAATCTTTTTTGCTAAACAGGTAAAAAAAAAACAAATTTAAATGCATTGATTTCTTATAACAACATCTTTGTTGGTTTCATTAATTGTCTTGTCGAGTAATTGCTATCACAACTTTTTTCTTTTATTGTAGTTTTAACAAGATTCTGGATATTGCTTGTAATCCATAAGTTCTGTATATTTAAACATACTTACAGGTTATTAACAATGCCTGTGCTACTCAAGCAGTTATCAGCGTTCTCTTAAACTGCAACCATCCTGACATTGAGTTGGGCCCGGAATTGACTAAGCTAAAGGAATTTAGCATGTCATTTGATCCCAAAATGCGTGGACTGGCACTAAGCAATTCTCATACAATACGAGCCGCTCATAACTCAGTTGCACAGCAACCTCTTTTCGAATTCGACTTTAAAAAACCAACCAAAGTAAGTTTTCTTTCTTTGATTGTGATCCTTTCTACTTTTTTTGGGACTTATTTTTATCCCCAACAACAACACTTTCTATTTGACTGTTCATCCTGTCACACTTAATGCAGCTCTAGGTGGCTTTATAAATCGTAGGGACATACTACTATATTTAATATAGGTTTGCAGTAGATATGATGATAGAAGCGAGAGACAGTCAAAGGAACTTTTTTATATTGCCGAGATATGTCGTAAATTCGTACAATAAATTATTTTTCAAATGAAGGCTAACTTCAAACAGTAAACTAAAAAGAAAGTTTGACAAGTAATGATTTATGTTGATTTGATAAATATTATAATGCAGTACTCATGTACTTTTCAGTCTGAAGAAGCCTATCACTTTGTGGGTTATGTCCCCATAGATGGTCGTTTATACGAACTAGACGGCCTGCGTGATGGTCCTATAGACCACGGACCAATTGCACCTAACCAAGATTGGCTCAGTGTTGTGGGACCAGTCATAACGAGAAGAATTAATACGTTAGTACTTATTTTGATAGTAACTAACCTTGCATATCATAAGTTACTAATTTAATCCGCAAGGTGGAGCTTGGTTTCAAAAATTTCAGACCTTTAAAGATTTTTGTTAAAACAGTCTCAATGAGTTTCTTAATGCTTTTCGTTTATTTACTACGTTTTTTTTTAAAAAGGACACGTTCAAAATTTCTCTGTTAGCTAAAAAAGCAAAAAATGTTTACCTTTTAAAATTGTTCTACTTAATGTTGATCGCCTCTGTAGCTTAATATCGTTGCCTAGATTGTTTCGTTCGGGCTGGTCACAGAAGTCTGATTTTAAAAAAAATCCTGCAAAAGCACAGATCAGTAAAACGGACACAAAGGTGTTCACCCCATGCTCTATGGGGGCTAACGGGATTTTACATTTTCTTAATGTCTAGTAAAAGTGTGAAATATTTAAGTTTTTAAAAGTGTTGAAGGTTCAAAACAAACACAGATAAACCTTGCACTTTCATTATACTGCTGGGGTGCTTTACTTTATGTTAAATTTATTAATAGGTATGAAAGAATACGACAGACGAGATTAGTTATATTAAAAAAAAAAAAAATATATATATATATATGCTTGTCTTTGTTAATCCATAATATTTTGTTGTAGATATATAGAGGGAGAAATACATTTCAATTTGATGGCTTTAGTGTCTAACCGCAAAATGGTTTACGAGCGCAAAATGGACGCATTGTACGCGTCCGCCTCAGAAGGCTACGAGTCGTACGAAGCGGAGTACGAGTTGCGAAATTTGCAAATGCTGATCGAATACGAAGACATCAAGATGGCCATGTACCGTCAAGAGGCGATAAGGCGCAAACACAACTATCTGCCGTTCATAATGACGCTGCTCAAAATACTTGCGGAAGAGCAGAAATTGGTGCCCCTACTGGCAAAAGCGCGGGAGCGTATTGCTAAGATGGGCGAGGAGAAACCGAAAGTATAACATGAGAAGAGGGCGGGTGCTCTGCCCGCCCGCGAGCATCCTGCTCGCACTTCCTCGCAGTCGAGCCCCTCGCGGGTGCTGCCCGACTCCGAGAACATGTATACATTAGCCGACCTAGACGCCATTTTCACCGATGCCCAAAGCTTACAGTCCACGAACATACAACAAGATATTATCGAAGATAACACCATAGATACACAGGATATAAACCTCGCTCTTATTGAACCGGATGAGGTACTGAAAGATGTGATTCTACCGCCCTCTTTTGACCGTAACAATATATTTGACGTTCAAGGCATGGTGGATGATAATTTCCTGGAAGTGGACGAAATGCCGCGCGATGTACTGGGAACGAACGAAGAGTTTGACGTTAGTAAATTCTTCAATCTACCCGACGAAAAACAACGCGAACCGAACGAGGATTCTGATTAAATTCTTGACAAGGTTCTAATTAAATTTAATACGATAACCTGTTAAGCGAAAATATTTTTCCTCTTTTAATATTACAATAATAATTTTAAAATTTAGTAGTTATGTAGTTTTGAGAGTTGACTAGGACAGATTCACAATGAGAGATTTCACGGTGTTTTAATAATTCATATCATACATTTCTTTATTAAAATTTATCCCTCTTTAAAATATGTCGATAAACGTTTCATTATTAATTAATTAAAGCGATGATTTAAAAAATTGGTCTCATGTGTAATAAAATAAAAACCATTTAGCGTTATTGTTGGAACTGCTTACATAAAACTTCAGAAACCTAATGACAGTTCACGAGATCTTAACGATTTTTTTGAGTTTTAACACTGTTTTCTAAATCAAAAACCAAAGCAACACGCCAATAGACAACCAACGTCTGAGGGCGTAGGTACAGTATCATAATTAAAAAAACCAATTCTATAAACGCCATTGGTGTGTCTTTGCGTGACGTAAGCTGTGATTAGAAATTATATTACGTTTCCATTGTTAATTAATTCGATATTAAACTTGAATTGTAATTTGTTCCCCTCATCTCTCAATAGTTTTGATTTTAAATATTTTCTTATGCTTCTAAACAAGCAAACTTTAAACGTAAGCTAAGTTAAGAACTGATCGGTGAGACATTAAATTGATAATTACTGTTGTAAATACAAATTGAACAAAATTCGTATAAATAAATATATAATAATTACTAGTGGTAGTAGTCTCTGTAGTTTATACTTATTGTAAACAGTGTTCAAGTTGTCGTTAGTCATTACCGAGTAACTTCATTAAAAAACTATTTATATTAAAAATATATGTCCCGTGCTAGTTGCTCTTGCCAACTGACGTAAGGATTCCGCGGTCATTATAAAACTTGGCTTTCCCAACTGCTCAGCCGTCGTAATTCAGAAACGGTTCTCGACGCTTTGCTAGTCCTGGTGAGTTTCACTAAGGGGCGCGCACATCGTCCGATGATGTTATTTACTTGTGGTACTGAAATGTCGAGAACCATTTCTCAGTTACGACACGACGGCTGAACAGGTCGAAAACTGAAGTCGCATGGTAGGTTGTGGTCGTTCGTCGATTCACCTCCCATCATGTCATGAAATTGTTTCATCTTAATAGATTTCATATTAATAGTAAAATTGTTACGTAAAATAATGTCTCAACTACAATTACATTACTGTAGCGTCAAACCCGGTCAGTATCTGTTCTTGCTAACTTGTGATTAAATAAATTGTACTGATTTAACTTTGTTTCTTATACTCTCCTAAAATACTGAGAAGAATAAGAATAAATTATTTAAAGGTAAGTGAACATTTTTTACATTGACCTACGGTTCATGTTCCTCACATCTAAAACCATTAATATAGCCTGGCTTTAACAGTCATAAATAATCGTGTCGTTAAAGTACACATAAAACAAGGATTAAAATTAGGAAATAAAATATCTGTATATGTAATTTATAGCATCGCTTTATTAAATGTAATTTTTAAAACAAGATCTTGCATTCCAAAACTCAAAGAATATGGAGCTTCAACAAATATTTTGTAATAAATTAGTCTCCGCCATGAGATGGTTTACAATGCGACACACGCTGTTCGATTTTAATTACAAGTAGGTGTAATAAATTTACAATTATTTACATCTTAAAATAATTATTTCTTACAACTAATATCATAAAGCTAATTCATGAATTTATAATATGTATCAGGGTATAAATAATAAATTAATGAAAACTGGAGCCTGTTTCGTGGCAAAGTGGCACTGTCCGCAGTCTGTTATTTACAATATTGATGTAATGATGGAGAAAATGGAAATTTTGTGAATCGTATGAACATGTGACTTATATTTACAAATGTTTAATCTCGCAATAGTTATAAATTTGAGCGTTCCGATGCCTTCAATGTTCTAGTTCGTTACGTGGATTCGATATCTTAAATCGTCATATGTTAAAATCAAGTAAATAATTAAAAAATATAAAACAATCCATCAATAAGGATGTGAAAATTGTTATTTTTTGTAATTGAACGAGTGAGCGATCTTCACTTATCTTGAAATAATTCCGTAGTTTTAGTAGTCGATACTATGAAGAATCATTATAAGTTAGATGTTGTGCAAGAATCCACATAAGAATAGAACAGAGGCTTATAAGAGTGTACAGTTCTGAAGGCATCCTGAAGGTTCACGTGGCAGGCTGAATACCTTTCGGTTTTATCATCATAGATGCTCGCTTCAACGTATAGTCCCATCCTCTCCATCGGAACCATACAATGCCTGCAAGAGTACACATTTAAATAAAATTTAACGGTTTAAATCCGATACGTCAGGCCGTGGATAATATATTTTTTACTAATATAAGTAAATCGCGTTTGAAATCGTTAAATTATTATTAAATTGAAATTCTGATTTCCTTACTTAATTTTACGGGACACACGTATCTCGTTCCACGCATTGAATTACAAGCCATAGCAGCAATTTACTATATTTTCATGGGATTTGAACCCAGGGCAAAATCAATTCATAAAACGCCATAGGACTACGGACTACGACCAAGGGTTCTTTGCAGTTGAGGAATGAAAGAGCAAGACGCAAGGCAACGATATCCTGTCTTTTATCAGTCCACAGATAGCAGACTTGTCCAAAACTCATCTAGTTACGCTGAATATTTTATGAGAGGTAACGCGTTTTATTGAAATTGAGTCGTTTACATATATCATAAGGGAATTTATTAACTCTTAAAATCTTAATCTTTCATGAAATAAATTTACTGCCTCTGTTTATAAGTGTCCTAAAACGAACAAAAAATAATACCAAAATACCTTGTCTTGCTGTGAGGTCTTGAGGGTCGTGTAGATAAAGGCCATTGAGTCCGCGCCCACATGACTTCCACCACCACCCGCCTTTGAGCATGGAGGCGCAGTTTAATGATGATCTGTCATTATCTCTGTAATGATAAGAAATATCAAATATCTCGTAATACATAATATTGCGCTATAGAAATATCGTTTGTTGACATAATTTTTACACAAATAATAGTATAAATTCATTCAACTAAGGTAATCATATTTTTTGTTTTTTTAGGCCACTCTGCCTATAGCAGCTTCATATTAATTAAAATGTTATATAGAACATATAATTAGTTGTAGTTAAAAAGTAACAGGTCCTTTCTGAGCAACGACGGAGAGACAGCGTCGTCCTTAGATGAACGATAGTTAGTTTGCCTTTCATTTTAAGGTATTGTCAATGAAAGTTTATAGACTTACCTGTTGTATGTTGAGAAAGGGCTATTGTTTGATCCATACCAAGGATCATTTAGAGAGTCACCCGCATTCCCCTCATAGCCATCTATCTCTAACTTATAGTATTCAGCTTCGGAGTAGATTTTAAAGTGCGAATACTGAGCGTATCTGGAAGTCCACATTTACATTATGAAGGCGTATTATATATTTTTTTTATTTCATTGTCCCGCCTCGTGAACTGAGCAACCAATCAATTTATTTTGTATACAATTGCTTTAAAGGAAGACCTACAAAGGTATAGACGATATACAACTTTGCTCCCGAAATTATGTTAACACACAAATTGCTATAATGAGAAATCGTTTCAACATAATTATATCTTAATTCCCAAAGAAAGGATTTTAAGACAATCACGCTGCTCTAGTTCAAAAGCAAATTGAAAATCATTATATATTAAAAAAAACGACTCCGGCAGGACTTGAACTAGCCTCCATAGCATTCCGAGCTGTTGCTGTAACCAATTGAGTTACCGAGCGCTCGGTTAGAGCAACGGCAACGCTGTGGTTGCCGGTTCAAGACCTGCCCGAGTCGAAATTGTTTTCAATATATAACCGATTTTTTATTTATATTGTACCATCATATGCAATAATATGTGAAATATATTACAGTTAACACTAAACACTGACTCGCTCTCCGTACAACACAATACCATAATTCGATGGGCTCGTTGTTGGATAGCAATATATTATCGGGTCGAGAGGTCGATCACTATTGGGCTTAACATGTGTGTAAGTAAATTCATTCATTCGGACATTCGGTCCCAATCACGAACCACCGTCCGTCATATGAAACTTAATCTCATTAATCACGTTTCAGTAGATTTTCAAATATTTAAAGCCTTAATAAGTTGACAGCGCTTCTTGTTTATATGTTGTATGGCTGGGGTACTAACTTTTCATCTTTCAGTAAGCCCCATGCTTTTCTATCGACATTCATACAACAAAAAGAACATTCACCCGATCGAGGCAGTTTAATTTTCTGGTATTTCACCTGGTTATTTTTTCTTTTTACATCGTGGCGGACATACAAAAATATATCCGCCCTTGGCACTGCCTTGAGGCTTCCACGAGATTCAGCTTTTAAAATTTATCACTTAACTCGAAACTTACCTCTTATTGCCATCAAAATCTTCAAGTTCAACGCGTAACATGTAGTCATCATTATTGGTCAGCATATATATGTTCTCGTTCCCGAGCCAGAACTCTTTACTAGGGTCACCAAAGCCATTCTTGTAGTCACTCCAGTCCCTGTTGAAATTCTCTGACGGTGTCCCATAGTCGTCACGACGATGAATTACCTAAAAATATCATTCATTCACATTTATCAACATCAAAATACAATACTAACATCAACATCAACATTTGTCCTTTTACAGTTCCCACTTCACCAGCGACAATTGTACATAAAATTAAATATTTTTGATTTTTGACTAAGAATCGATCCCACTCAGTTAAATGGCTCGCTACTTAAAATCTATGGAGAATATCACTCTAATTCAATTAAACCAATGTTTGCTTTATATTTGATGACAAGTAGTCGAATGCAATTTGAATGTAGTTCACATACCGGAATAAAACAAACTGAGTATTTAAATATTTTTTGCTGAAACTTGGGGAAAAGTTCTTTTAAATTTTAACGTGTAGAGTATGAATTGTCTTGGTTGTTGTAAAAGCGTCATTATACGTGCGTTGGTGATAGGAATATAGAAATTTCGCCTGGGCCACTCAACACCGTCTACAGATGAAGTCTGTGGAATTCCGAATATCCAAGGATAATAGGCGAGAGCACATCTAGTTTAGATGTTACATCATAAAAAATAAGTTTAATTTAACTACCAATTTTTAACCAATCGCGTAAATAGATACTTACATCATCTTTTTTATAAGAAACGAAACTCTGTATACCAGGTAGTTTATAATGTTGTATGTATTGTCATAATTTTAATAAATTGCAAATCAGAAGGTTTGCGTGTCTGCGGGTGACCTTCACTTTAATCAACTCGAGTTTGATCTAACAATACTTATGAAACAGTTTTTTCTTAGCTGAATTCAATAATAATTGTCATAAGGACATTCACTTTGTATCGCTCCCAAATATACAATGCCCATATTTTTTAAAAATCGAAAATAAATTCAAAAAAAATATTTTTGATTTTTACAGGACTTGAACCGGCATCGTCAGCACGGATCGCTGACGATGCCGGTTGCCATGATTCAAGTCCTGCCCGAGGCGAAATTTTTTTTCAATTTAGTTTCGATTTTTAAATTATATAGTGCCTTCATGTGCAATAACATGTAAACAATATTAATGTTTTAAATTAATTCCCATATTCATCACAACTTCCTTTATTTACCCCATTTAAATTGAGGGTAGTTTTGAAGGTTTGTTCGTCTTTCTAATTCGTCAGACTAAAAAGGCAAACTAACTAACCGTTCGATTATTGAACATGCATTTACTTTATTGAGAAATAATAAACCTAATTGAAAACCTAATTAATAAAAGAATTAAATGTCGCCGGTTCGATTCCTAGTTAAAATCAAATTTAAAAATATTTATTTACATAAAAACTAAACATTTACAACCAGTTCTTTCAGTATTTAAATCATTGTAAGTGCACTATATATTTTTCTTGTGAGAGCGAGTTTCTCCAAACCCAAAGCACTTTTATCGTATAAATATTGATTAACGCGATCCTGATTGTCGATATTCTTTAAAGAACACAAAATGTGGGTATCTCTTATCTAAAGCTTACCGTCCATCCACCATCAGCTATGGCTTGTTCGCAGAAAACCTTCAGGAACCAGTAAGTGGTGCCTCTAATTTGCAGATAGTATACCCCTGATTCCCGCATGCCTCCATTCAAAAGATCGACGCAGGAATAGCCCTGGAAGATGCATTTTGTTATGATCGTATTTTATAGCATTAAAATCTACTGTCACATTGTACACTCGCTATAGCACTCACTAGACTAGTAACAAGTATACACCTTGCGCAAGCCGCGAAGCAATAGTAAATAAAACATATTGCGGCGCCTTAAAATTAGCTTAAATGGCTTACATTCAAATCATAGTAATGTTAACAGGGCGACGAAGTACAGTAATAAACAAGTACGCACTAATGTAATTCGAAATTTGTATTGGTCATCCGATGTTTTATTTAATTTGTTTACGATTACTAGAGAGCTAATTTGGCTTCAGCCAACCACTTTCAGATTCGAATTAAAACTAAACCGAAACCGAAGTTGCCGGTTTATAGAACGCGTCGTTATATATCATTAAAAAAACGACGATCAAGCGAATGAGTTAAATTAAATCAGTGTAACAATACATCGTCTAATGTTACGATTTGTTGTTATTAAGTTTACATCATATTAAAACGAAGATATAAAATAAAACATAACTAAATATTTGTCTAACGAATATATAAGATAGTTTCCTTGTATTAATGTATTGTATTAATTATGAAATAACGCAATGCCGCACGTTTTAATTGATATTCAATTCTTTATATTTTCTATGACCACACATAGTTGTTGAGTTTAGACGTTTGTTTAAGAAACCGTATAAATAACATAGTACGTAAATTTAAATTAAGTCTAAAGTACCAGCATACCCCGTCCGACAACCTGTGTTTAATATCGAGCGATTTTGTAAGCGCTTATAAAATAAGTGCTTCGAGTCGTTATTAGATAAGATTCCATTTCAGCGGTGGCTGTAACAAACACAACTTTAGGGCAGTATTGACCAATGCATTTAATATAGTGTAATACTGGTTCCCTATTGCTTAACCGGCAATCGTAAAAGGCATGAATGCCGGTCGATAAGTTATGTCTCACAAACTATATGTATATATTTATTAACAGCAATCGCGGAGCACATTAAAATTCTGTTTATACCCGTATTAGATTTGTGCTACTTAATTTATACCAATTATACATTTATAAAGTTCACAAAAATATGATATTGGAAATGATTAAGAACTGTGTAGTACTTATTAATTAATGATAAACCACTTTTATACACATATATAATTTTAGCTTTATATTTGATTCTTATTTCAAGTCATGTATTATTTGAACTTATTCTAAGTCACTGTAATAGTTGTCGCAACGCATGTAACATACATTTGGGTTATTATATTTTTAGTAGCATATGTAAATAATTGTAGAATGATGTATTTAATAATAAAAAGTCTAAACTCACTTTCACATCCTTATAGTTTGCGACAATTTCTGAGGCGAAAGTGTTGTTGCCAACTATAGGTTTGTTTTTGACGCTTGGGAAAATAATGCCTCCTTTACGACTGCTTGGGCGTGGACTTGTGGGCCCAGTACTCGCTGGTGTGACGGTAACTGTTGCACTGCTTTGACTCGAGCTAGAGTTAATTTTCAATTATTAATTCTCTTAAATAATTATACATGGGTATTAGTAGATTATTTATAGGCTAACAAATATAAGCATATGATTTTCGCACAAAAATTTCGCAGTTACATTCGCATAATTGAGAATTCGCAAGGGCGTAAAATTAAATACTTTTCACCTGTTATTTCCTGACGGCGTGGGTGGTGTTGTGAACGCAGCTGTACTGGTGCTTGGGTCAGTTGAGGGCTCGTCTACCCTGTACCTATTTGGCGCATATTCAACTAAGCGGTCTATTGTTGGGTCCAGAAGCAATTCTGCAGGCACCGGCCGCTGTGCAAGAGTTGCCACGTCATCTTCTTGTTTCTTAAGCCTCTTCTCGACCATATCCAAGTTTTCTATTATGAGATTTGTTTTTACACGTAAGTCGTTGTGAATTTGGCCGATTGCCCTCTCTTGCCTCTGTGTTTGAGTTAATAGTTCATCTGATTTAGGTACTAAATCGTCTACGGAACTCTTTGTACCAACTACAACGTCCCACACTTCGTCCATTTTTTCTGAAACGCTCATCATTGGAATGATTTTGTTAACCAGTGTATCTATTTTGTTAGCCTTCGAAACTGGTGAAGGTGTGCTCGTTGATGTACGGTTTTTGAAAATTGTATTTATGTTGATTGATGCCGACTCGGGTTCGACTATAGCGGCGTGTACATCGGCCATCATATATAAAACTTTACCTAAATTTTCCGAAACGAGGTTAATATGAAATTGCAATTTTCTATCAACCGTCGTCATCGAAGTCCTTAATTGATCTACTTCCTTTGTTATTTCATTAATGACTTCTGTATTAAGACCTTTAGCGATCTCAATCACGTTAAGGTTAACAGGCTTTTTCTCACTCGCTTCGGCATTAATGTCATCTACTGGTAAGAAGTTGTTGTCTATTTGGGTTTTAAGGCCCACCAATTTTGAGTCAATGTCAGATACTTTTTGATCTAAAGATTCTAGTTTTTTATCAAGTAATTGCGTATTGCTTATTCTGTTATCATTGTGTCTTTTGTTTATATTCTCTGTTGCAATTTCTTCTTCATCCTGGCCAATTCTGCTGAACAATTTAAAGTCTAGGTTTCCTAATTTTGATATAATAGCATCCGTTTTGTGTATGTTATCATTAACTCTAGAATCTAAAGCCTCCACTCTTCGCATGAGATGTTCTACGGCTTTGTCTAGATTTTCTATTCTCTGCAATTTTGTTTCCAAAGTGCTGACGATGACCTCAAACACGTTGAAAATGTATTGCTCTCTGAAACAAACAAAAAAAATATTAAATCACAAAATAACTTCAATGCAGTGTTATTTCTAATCACTTTTATAAATAAAGAGTATATAGTTTTTCCGATGTAATAAAACATTAATCATAACTTTCGCCTCAGTTTAACATAGGCATAAAAATTAATAAAATTATATGTACACATTGGCAAATTCAACATTCTTTTGATCTGCGTTTCAGATAAAACATATAAAATGTTGTGCCCAATTCTGTATTTGGTATCCTGCCTTTGATTTAACCCATTGATTTAAAAATTACTTCTTCAAATAAATAAGTATGTATAGTTCATCATAAAATTGTATATATAATATATTTGTTTTGATAGAGGAGGACAGACAAGCAAGATTCACTTGATGGAAGATTAATACCCCAGCTATATAATATGTCAATGCGCTGTTGACTTATTTATCTAGCTCTGTAGTGTAAACCGAAATGCAATGAAAGTTCACCATTTCTTCATCTGTGGACGGTAACAGATTCACTTTAATTATCTGAAGTCTCAAAGGTTTTAGCAAAATTATAGTATGATTGGAAATCTGTTGGACCCGATGATGATCGAAGACTTGACCCGACCAGGGAAGGTTCCTAGGTCGGGTCTGATAACAATTTTTATATAAAGCGTTGGCTACATGGAAACAGATTCGAGCGTAATATACAAGAATATTAACGCGGAGGTAAGTTGCGGAGACAAGAGTTAATTTTGTCACCTGTTTATATTATAGTCGTAATTGCGGTAGGAGGTACAACCTGCTCCGTTACGCAAGTCCGCCTCAAAATTATGGATACTGTCTCTAAAGTAGAGCAGTATTAACCATTACTTTATTCAACCGTTCAACCAGTTGGAACCAATTTAGATATACACTTTACAAGCTTAAGAGATCTGATGAAATCTGGAGGAGGTAGGAATATGGAAGCTCTGTCCGCGCCACGAACCACCGTCCACAGATAAAGTATTGAAGTTTAAACGCGTTTCGGTTTTGTCTATGGATTGCGGAATATTCGAGACCAAACTGGGTCGACAGTGCACCTTGTTTACGGTATATGGCTAGGGAATGTCGCCTACCATTAAGTAAACCCCGTGCTTGTCTGTCCTCTGTAACAAAAAAGTGCACATAACATTAGACCACCTCTCAAGTCATCGTTTGTAAGTTCGTTGCATAACTCCCCATAGTATTTCATAACGGAGCCTCATTGTTTGAAGCGGGCATTAGAGACACTGCAAGGAAAATCGGTCTCACTAGTATGGTGACATTGTAGTTTCAAATCAAGAATGCACTATATCGTAATGTATATGGACTGGACGTGGGTAGAAATTTTAACAATAAAACTATAAAGGTAGGCGGCTAGTATACCAGTGGAATATTTGAATTTTTTTCTAGAGCACTTAAATTTTATGTTACGTTCAGAGACGCGACACTTTGGTTCTATGTAGTAATTTTTCTAGGTAGATTAGACTTGATGGCTTTTTCATGGTGGTTCGTAACCTCGATATTTCTACCATACATTTAATAGATTTCCATACGAGAATTCATAAATTGATTTGATAAATTTTGGACCCGATCAAAACCACGATCCCTTAAAAGAGTAGAGTCGACCAAGGCCCGATAAATGTCTGTTTGTAGATATTACAACAAACTGCAATAATGGATTCCTTTTTTTGTTATATATCAAAGAGTCACTTAGAATAAGAGAAGAAATGATATAAACATATTTGTTCTATTTTGATGTTCATCGAATAAGTTATTCTAGTTTAAAGCAGCGGAGGCGATACTGAAAATCAGTGTTGCAACAAAAGCGTGTAGCGTTGTTTTAATTTTAAGCCTCATTCATATATATTTTGTCTAAGAATAGTAATTATTATAATTATTCATAAAATAATTAGAAATTGAAATATTGTCTGTAGTTTACGCGAGTAGTACACTTTTAAATAAAACACTTCAACGGTCTAAAACGCGATATATTAGTTAAACTTATTTAAAAATGATTTTTAACTTCGGCCCGACGTTTCGGAGGCTTTGCAGCAACCGTGGTCACGGGAAGACTGCCGAAGGGAAGACGTCGGGCCGAAGTTAAAAATCATTTTCAAATAAGTTTAACTAAAATATCGCGTTTTAAACCGTGAAAGTGTTTTATTTATATTATATATTTGCGTTTTAAAACGTTAAAGTGTGTTTTATTTAAATTTGATATTTACTCTTATAATAGAAAAAGTTTAAAATACTAAATTTGGCCCAATGTTTCATTCCGTGTTTAGTACAGAACCCTTCGTATGTAAGTCGGACTGGCATTTTTAAATTATCACGCGTTGAAGGAAAACATAGTGACGAATCAGCATTGATATGTGGCATCTACCAACACGGACTTAGCCAGAGTTGAGACCTTAGGAGGCTCGATGTAGAAGTGAGTGGATCATTTGAGTTCGAGTGGAATTTACTGGTCGATGGTGTTAGCACGCGTGAATGTGGTTCACGGCCTTATGTACGAGTATTGTATCTCTAGCGTGGAACCAGCATCACGCTGTGTCATTTTCCATTGTTAATCTAGCACAGTTTCAAAACGTATCTGTTAGTCTATAGATAATAATAATAATAAAAACACTTTCTTGCACAAACATAAAAAGCATAGATACTTAGAATTATATGTACAAAAAAGAACCTGTTTCTGAAAAGGCGGCCCTATCGCCTATGGCGATTTCTTCCAGGCAACCTTTGCAAGTAGAAATAAGAAATAAAAATAAAAAGATAATTTAAACTGGAAATTATCACTAAAATACTAAAGCTAAACATACTTTTAGATTATGTATAAATCAAACGTATGAGATGTAGAAAAGAGGCAAAAAAATATCATCTTATTGTTTGCATGTTTACTTTAACATGCACAATTTTATCGCGCCATTTACACCTTCGCACAAAAAAATTTATTGTTACAATAATAATCATAGTTATAAAAAAACATAGTGCCTAAACTCACTTTTCAAAACGATTTATAATGAGAATATTTTAATTTATTATACCTAATTATTATTACCTAGGCCATTCAAGGTTAGAATTATAGTAAACTAGCTGTGGCAGCGAATTCGTCCGCGTAGAATAGTTATTTTTACAAAAACAATGCATACAGATTGATAACCCTCTATAATGAATAATTTCCCCCGTTTTATCCACATATCCCGCTGTTACCTCGCTCCTATTCGTCGCAACGCAATGTCTTATAGCATTCCTCGATAAATGCTCTAACCAATACAAAAACAAAAAAAAATCAATTCAAACCAGTAGTTCCAGAGAGCGTGTTCAAACATACAAAGAAAAGATTTCGGAGAATAGTGTTATCTAAACGCCTATATCCTGCATTCTCTTTAATCAACGCTTGATTAGTGAGCAGTTTATTCATATATTTACAACTGCCTGTTTTCGATTTATTTGCAAGTGAATGGACCTTGCGACTAGCAGACGGTGCTCGGAATAAGGTTGTCAGGTTTAGTGCAAGCGAGCGAACGAGTGCGTTGTGTATAGCGCAAGCATTTATCGAGATAATATTACCTAAACTAACTGCGTTCAATATGTTATCTGCGCCGAGCAAAATGCAGCAATTTATATGTTGCCATTTATGGATTATTTAAATCAAATGAAATATTCGTTTATTTTAATCGAAGGCCGAGTCACGTTCTACATGATATTTTAAGTGTATTGTTTCGTATATTATGTATGTTATACGAAACACTGTCATTTAAATATTGGTCACATTTATAAAAAAATTCCATCGATCCATTTTTAAATGTAATAAGAGTGGTCGATTTTTTGTAACAACTTAATTATTTTACATTTTTTTTATCTTATTAATGTTTTAATTTATGCGAATGTTAGACCAACCACGTCTATAAATCTGTACTAATATATAAAGCTGAAGAGTTTGTTTGTTTGAACGCGCTAATCTCAGGAACTACTCAATCGAATTGAAACATTATTTTTGTGTTCCTTAGACAATCTATTTAGGAAAATTATAGCTTTAAAACATTGCAGTTTAATTAATAGGAGCGAGGAGAAAGCTGTAAATGTGGGAAAAACGGGGAAAATCATGCACCTTTGTGGGTTTCCGATGCGTACGCAAAAACAATAAAAATATTAAAATGATCTAAAAAAAATGTCCACGACACTATATGTCTACCTTTATGGTTAACTTTCAAGAACGACGTCGTGGATAACAGCTACGATTTATAAAGATAAGAAGGAGGTTTGCAAACGCCAAAAATAATTATTCTACGCGGCCTAAGTCGCGGACCCAGCTAGTGATATCTAAAGACATATTGTCGACTGTGTCGATTACTTCCTTTGAATTGTAATGACCTGGAGATTACCTTAACTGTATGCAACAAAACAATAAATTACATTAAATTGGAAAGTAGGTAATCTTAAACGAAAGGGCGGTTTAATTAGACACGTGATGTTGTCTCTCGATTACGTAAAAACTAATTAAATCAAGGCTTTGAACGCGTGCCGATAATAAATTGCAGGCATTTTATTAATTGTTTTCAAATCTATATTTTGCTTAAACTATGTTCGTTTGTCTGTAGATTAAATTAATGGGTTCAGATTTGTGTTTTCAAACCTCCTTTTCATCTTAAAATTTAAGCTATTACCCACAACGTCGAACGCGTCCCGTCGTTCTTGCAAGTTAATCTTAAAAGATAGACTGAAATATAGTGTCACGGACATTTTTTAAAGATTATTTTAAAAAAGGAATCATTCTTTCATATATATTTGATCTTAAAGTTTTTTTACGCATAAAACTTCTAACTAAACATATTAGTAAACGCAATTTTAACTAACGTTTCCCTCCCAGTCCCCCGCGTAAAAACATCCGAAACGTGGTCGTTAAAAACCTGATATACTTCGCGCTTTTAACTAATAAAAGTGTTTTATTTGAACACAGCTGTCACTAAGAAGTGGTAAAAAATAAAATATTACCCGTTGTAA